TGCGGAGAGGCCCGCAGGCTCGGCTTCCGACCTCCCTTCCCCCCGGCCCCCGGGCCACCCTGCCCGCGTTCTCCGCGGCCGAGGGGGCGCCGGCCCGCCGCCCGTGGCCGGTTGGAAGTTAAATGCCCGCCGCGCTCACCGTCCTCCGCGCTCTTTGTGAACGGAAGCGCCCGAAGCTCGGGCGGGGCCGGTGGCGCTCGCCCCGCACCGAGGCGACACCCCGCCTCCCTCCCGTCTCTGCCGCCTCCGGCGCCGCCGGGAATGGGGCCGCCCTGGGCTCCCCGAGGGGCGGAGGGCGCCCCCTGCCCCGCGCCGCCCGCCCGCTCACGGCCGCGCTGGGTGCTGGACCGGCCCGCGCGGACCGGCTGGAGGCGGAGGCCACGGGAGAGGACAGGCTCGGCTCGTGCGTGTTTGTTTGATTTTGTCCTTGGGAAGATTTTGTTCTTTTTCATCAGTTCTTTGCTGATTTTTTAAAGATTCACTTTTCTCTCTGCCTCCTTCCCTCTCTCGGTTTCTCCTTCTCTCCTCTTCCCACTATCCCTCCTTCCCCCTTTCCCTCCCTTTTTCTCTTTCTCCCTTCTTTTCCCTCCCTCCCCCTTCCTTCTCTCCTTTCCCTCTCTCCCCTCTCTCTCTCCTTCCTCTCCCCCTCCCTCCCTCTCCTCCTCCCTCTCTCCTTCCCTCCCTCTCCTCGTGTCTCCCTCTCCCTCCTTCCCTCCTTCTCTCCTTCCCCCTTTACCTCCCTCCTCCCCTCTCCTTTCCCTTCTTTTCCCTCCCTCCCTCCTTCTTTCTCTCCTCTCCCTCTTCTCCCTCTTTCTCTCTCTTTCCTCCCTCTCCCCTTCTTTCTCCCATTCTCTCCCCCACCTCTCCCCTTCTCTCCTCTCCCTCCCTCTTTCTCTCCTTTTCCTCCCTCTCCTTCTCTCTCCCCTTCTCTCTCTCTCTCCTCCCTCCTTCTCTCTCTCCTCTCTCTCCTCTCTCTGTCTCTCTGTCTCTCTCCTTCCCCCCTTCCTCCTCCCCACCCTTCTCTCTTTCCTCCCTTCCTTTCCCATGTAAGGAAGTGTTATTTCTAGGTAACCAGAGTTGGTACCAGACAGAGGGAAGGTGTGAGTGGTGAAGCCCGCTAGTTCTTGGTGGAACCGGTGTAGTTCTGAGGTCACCTGCATCAGCCAGGTCCCTTCTTGCTGCAGGAACTTGGGCATTCCAAAGGGACAGCACGCAGAGGAAGAGTTCGGGGAGCCGGGGAAAGGGAGGTCTGTGGGGTGGAGTAAGCAGGGAGAGGTCCCTGTGATGGGAAGCTGAGGTGGTGCCGCAGTCAGTGCTGGGCCAGGACTGGGGACCTCACTGCCTGCTCGCTGGGGACCTGTGGTTTGGGAAAGCGCCTCTGGGGGCACAGCCTCTGCTCATCCTGGAATACAGAGGCCTGACCCAGTAGCTGTGAGATTTCACTTGTTTATAAATCGTGAAGAACAGTAGCGCTGTAAAGCAGTTTTTATTTGGCCTAGAGTAATAGGGCTGTATTTTCCTGACAAAGGATAGAAAAGAGCTAGTTTTCTAAATAAGTGATCTTTTTTAAAAAATATATATATTTTTATTTATTTATTTATTTATTTATTTATTTATTTATTTATTTTACAGAGAGGAAGGGAGAGGGATAGTTATAAACATCTATCAGCTGCAGCCTGCACCCTCCCCACTGGGGATGTGCCCTCAACCAAGGTACATGCCCTTGACTGGAATCGAACCTGGGACCCTTGAGTCTGCAGGCTGATCGATGCTCTATCCACTGAGCCAAACCGGTTAGGGCAAGAAGTGATCTTTTGATAACTAAATTTTAGGGCAGACTGATAGAGAATAGGCTCATAAATATTTTAAAAGACAAGGATAAAAGCGTGTATAGAGACATGCGTGTGTTTTTTTTTTAATAATTGAAGTAAAGTTTACATGGTGAAATGCACAGATCTTAAAAGTACTTAATTGAAAAGCTTTGATAAATGTGTATACTTGTGTAACCACTACCCCAGTCAATATATTTTCATCACCCCAGAAAGTTCCCTCTTAACCCCTCCACCCACCTACATGGCCCCAGGCAACTGCTGTTCTAATTTCTGTCCACTTAGTTTAATTTTACCTGTTTTTGAATTTTATATAAGTGGAATTATATTATACAATATATGTGGGTGGCTTCTATTGCTCAAATAATGTTATTCAAATTCATCTTTGTGGTTGATATGTATCTGAAGTTCCTTCTCATTTATTTATTTATTTTAAATATATTTTTATTGTGTGTATCTCCTCCCCCCCCCCCCCCCCCCCCAGAAAGGAAGGGAGAGGGATAGAGAGTTAGAAACATTGATGAGAGAGAAACATCTATCAGCTGCCTCCTGCACGCCCCCTACTGGGGATGTGCCCGCAACCAAGGTACATGTCCTTGACTGGAGTTGAACCTGGGACCTTTCAGTTCGCAGGCCAACACTCTATCCACTGAGCCAAACCAGTTAGGGCCCTTCTCTTTTTATTTTTGGGTAGTACTACACTGTATAAATATATCACAGTTTATCCTGCTGTTGAAGAATATATAGTTGTTGTTTTTTCCATTTTGGGGCTATTATGAATAAAGCTGCTATGAATATTCTTGTAGAGTCTCTTTGTAAGTTGCTTATTTTCATTAAATTCCTAGGAATAAGATTACAGAGTTATAGAGTAGAAATATGTTTAACTTTACAAGAAATTGCCGGGTATTTTCCACAGTGATTTTGTACGCTTGTCAACAGTGTAAAGATTCTAGTTGATTCAAATCCTTGACAACCTTTTAATTTAGCCATTCTAGTATGGGTGAAATTGTACCTTATGTGGTTTTAATTTGTACCAGGTGTACCGGTTAATAATGCGGATTTTGTAATCAAAGAAAACGCAATAATTTCAAGAGAAACATCAAAAGTCCTTTATTCAAAGTAATGTCCACCGGTAGCTACAATCTTTCGGGTAATTTGTGGATACCGTCCCAATAAAACTTTGCTTTTTGAGGCAAACCATTCAGAGACCCAGTTTTCCACTTTGTACGTTCTGAAGATGTGCTCAAAAAGTGAATGTGTCATTGATCAGAACAAGTAATAACCTGAAGGAGCAAGGTGTGAATACAGTGGGTGGGTTAATACTTCACAGGCAAGATCTTTTAATGTATTTTTAACTGGTTTTGAAGTTTATGATGGTGCGTTATCATGAAGCAAAATTACTTTGCCATGTCTTCTGGCATATTCTGGTCGTTTCACGATCATCAAAGTGTGGTTCAAATTGATTATTTGTTGTTGGTGGTGATCAGTATTAACGGTTTCACCTGGTTTTAAAAGCTCATAATACACCATTCCTTCCTGATCTAACCAAACACAGAGCATTGTCTTCTTTCCAAAGCGATTTGGTTTTGCAGTCAATGTTGATGGTTTACCTGGATCAACTCATGATTTTGTGCATTTGGAATTTTCAAAATAAATCCACTTTTCATTGCCAGTCACAATTTGATGCAAAAAAAAACCCCTTCCTTTCGTGCTGTTTGAAGCAACATTTTACTGATGACTTTTCAATTTTCCATTTGTCTTTCGTTCAGTTGATGTGGCACACATTTACCTTCCTTTAAAATCTTTCCCTTTGCTTGTATACGATCGGAAATTGTTTGATGAGCAACATTTAATCTTTCTGCAAGTTGTTTTGAGTTTGACACACATCTTCATCCAATAATGTTTGTAATTGTTGGTCTTCAAACTTTTTCAGTTGACTTGGATGTACTTTGTCTTTCACATAAAAATCATCACTTTTAAAGCATTTAAACCAGCGTTCACATGTATCTTGAGATGGAGCATGTTCACCATAAGCTTCCTGAAGTATACAATAACTTTCAGCAGCACTTTTCTTCAAAATAATGAATTAAAACTTCCCTCAAATACCCTTTTTTGGCACGAAATTCCACGTTTTTAAGTGTAAAAATAAATATGATGTTAATACCTTCAATAAATTTGACATAAGTTTTATAGCTTGCTGTCAATACAATAAAATAGTGTACATATCAAATCACATATATATCAACATATGTGTAACTCCAGCTACTGAAAAAAGTCTGCATTATCAACCAGTACACCTGCTATTTCTCTGATAACTAATGGTCTTAAGCACCTTTTCATGTGATTATTCCATTCAGATATCTTCTGCATGGTGCCTATTAAGCTAACCCATTCTTTTATAGGTTATTTGTCATCATTAAGAGGTGAATTGCAAGAGTTCTTTATATATTCCTTATAAAAATGGTTTTTAGATATGAATATTTTCTCCCACTTTGTTTGCCTTTTTGTTTTCTTAATGGAATGTTTTAATGAGCAGAATTTTTAATTTGGTGAAGTACAGTTTTTCAAGTTTTTCTTTTATATTTATATTTAGTGCTTTTTAAATAGTCTTATCTAAGGATTTTCTTCCTACCCTTGGCTTAGGAAAATATTCTTCTTTTCTAGAAAATTTATTGATTTTCACTTTTTAGATAGAGGTTTATGAACAGATACTCATTTTTTAAAAATATTTTTATTGATTTGAGAGAGAGGAGAGGGAGAGAGAATCATTGATTGGCTGCATTTTGCATGCCCCACACGGGATTGAGCCCACAACCTGAGCATATGCCCTGACCGGAATTGAACCATGACCTCCTGGTTCATAGGTTAATGCTCAACCCTGAGCCACACAGCCTGGGCCAGATAATCATTTTAATGCAGCAACAAGAATATCATAAGCATTCTACATAACTCAATATAAATATTGCAGAAGTCTGCCTAACTAAAGTGGAAAAAGAAAAAAAAAAGAATTGTTTCCAATTCAAAGGAATATTTTATTCTTAGGAAACAAAATAATAATAGTTTAATATATTAATAGTTTAATATATAATAAATTATTATAGCTAATATGATATTTCACTCTTTTAGGACTTTAATTTTTGGAAGTGAATAAAGCTAATTTTGGAAGACAAGATGACTACAGCTGCAGAAAGAAAGTATGTTAATATTAGAAAAAGATTGGATCAGTTGGGATACCGCCAGACTCTGACAGTGGAGTGTTTACCCTTGGTAGAAAAACTCTTCAGGTAAAGATGAAAATACAGTTCTAAACCTCTATAATCCTTAATTTTACTTACCTGATTTGATTGAACTTCATGCTACAGTAAAGAAATGGTAGATTTTTTTTTTAAAAAGCCCTTAAATCATCCAAAGCACATCTGTTTGTTGCAGAGCCTGCTTCTCCATCATGAATTCAGGCTCTTCATGTTGTAGAGCTCCAGGGGTCACCAGTCACCATCTAATGTACCATCTAATGTAAACATTTTTGAGGGTTCCCTGTGGATAGAATTACAATCTTTTTAATGTGGTTTTCTGATATAATTGGGAGTTCTATGTCCGCCTCACACCTACTGGTCTTTAGTTACTATTACATTAATAATGTAATTTCTTTAGCTGTTATGTATTACCTCAATTGAAGGATACTTTGTGATTTTCTTTTTTAATAATTTAAAAAAATATTTTATTGATTTTTTTACAAAGAGGAAGAGAGAGGGACAGAGAGTCAGAAACAGCGATGAGAAAGAAACATCGATCAACTGCCTCCTGCACACTCCCCACTGGGGATGTACCCGCAACCAAGCGAACCCGGGACCTTTCAGTCCGCAGGCAGACACTCTGTCCACTGAGCCAAGCCGGTTTCAGCCTTTGTGATTTTCTTTACCACATGAACTCTATTACTGTGGTTTGAGCCTGCGGCAGGGAAATTGCTTTGGGAGCTTTTCACTAGGACAGTGATTTTCGATCGCCACAAGAATTTTTAAAACATGCACTAACTGACTAATCAGAAAAGGGACACTGATCTCTTTTCCTTTATATTGTCAAATACAAAATGACAACAGCCAACACAAAAATAGCTATCCAGTGTGAATAAATCAAAATTATACCTTCTTTTTGGTCAGATTGGAAAAAAATACAATGTTTTTATGGTGTGCCGCAGAATTTTAGTAATTAGTCTGTGTGTGCCATGCGATGACAGGTTGAAAATCGCTGCGGAGGACTATGAGAGATGATGGGAAGAGAAAATAGATGAAAAGTATTTTGTGGGCTTTGGTATGGTCTTTAAAACCCTTCCTCATCTGGCTCCTGCAGCTTCATCTTCCATGTAGTGAACCAGTTGAAGCTCCTAAACACATGGACACTCTCACCCATGATCTCTCCATATGCTGTTCTATCTGCCTTCTATCTCTCCCCTTGCCCTTTTGTTTAGTTAGCTATACAGTCTGCTGGGCTTTATTATGTCTCTTACATGCCACCCTAACTACTACTTATTATTGGAAACTTCCATTTGACTTCCCTTAAGAATTCAAACTCTATACCTAGGAGACTAGAAACTATACCTAGAACAGGCTGAATACATAATTGGCACTGAAGTATTTGTTGAGTTTATCACATCTATAATAATAAAAGGGTAATATGCTAATTAGACCGATGCCTTCTGGACATTGTTCCAGATATCCTTCCTGACAAAGCTGGGGCCAGAGGAAAGCCGGCCCAGGTCCTGAGTGCCTGTGGGCGGCCCTACGAAGCCAGTCCAGGTCCCAGTACCTGCAGGCAGCCTGAGGGAAGCCAGCCTGGGTCCAGTTGCCTGAAGGCAGCCAGAGGAGGGCGGCCTATGCCAGCAGCTGGGGAAAGGAAGGTCTACACAGCACGAATTTTCGTGCAATGGGCCTCTAGCAGTAGCATAACTTTTTTACAAACTGTCAGTAGAAAATAAGCTCCATGACAGTGAGTTCTTTATTGCTTTCATGCTCAATAAGTATTATTGGGAGTATATATACCAAAATCTTATTTATTGTGTACCTGTCACTTAGCATGTAGCAGGCACTCAATAAATATTTGCTGAAAAAACAAGCAGGTTCACAGATTCCACAGGATCAGGTGATTAATGGGGGAATAAGCAAGATTGGAGACTAAAATATGATTCTAATTATGTGTACACAGGTTTGTGCACCAGTGGGGTCCCTTGGCCTGGCCTTCCAGGATAGGGCTGAAACTAGCTACCCAAAATCCCCCGAGGGGTCCCGGATTGTGAGAGGGAGCAGGCCGGGTCGAAGGACCCACCAGTGCATGATTGGGACTGGGAGGAACCGCAGGAGGGCTCCAGGGTGTGTCCAGACCATATGGCCAAAGTCCTGACCAGCCGGACTCCAGCAGCAAGCTAACCCACGGGTTGGAGCATCTTCCCCCTGGTGGTCAGTGCACATCATAGCAACTGGTCAAATGGTTGAACAAATAGTCAGACACTTAACATATTAGGCTATTATTATATAGGATAATTTATAACAATCTTGTTTTGAGAAATTTTAAAAAAATATATATTTTATTGATTTTGTACAGAGAAGAAGGGAGAGAGATAGAGAGTTAGAAACATCGATGAGAGAGAGTCATCGATCAGCTGCCTCTTGCACACCCCCTGCTGGGGATATGCCCGCAACCAAGGTACATGCCCTTGATCGGAATCGAACCCTGGACCCTTCAGGCCCCAAGCCGACGCTCTATCCATTGAGCCAAACCGGTCTCGGCTGTTTTGAGAAATTTTTTAATGCTTCGTATCACCTTGAAAGGTTCCTAATTGTTTGTTTTTATATTTGAATTCACTTGGTATTTAACATATTTCAGCCTTTTATAATTATACTAGAGTCCTGGTGCACGAAATATGTGCGGGGGTGGGGGAGAGGGTCCCTCAACCCAGCCTGCACCCTCCAATCTGGGACATCCCTCTCACAATTCAGGACTGCTGGCTCCCAACTGCTCACCTGCCTGCCTTCCTGATTGCCCCTAACCACTTCCACTTTCCAGCCTGTTCACCTCCTAACCACTCTGATGCCTGCCTGATTGATGTCTAACTGCTGCCCTGCCAGTCTGTTTGCTCCCAACTTCCCTCCTCTGCTGGCCTGGTCACCCCTAACTGCCCTCCCCTGCAGGGTTGATCACCTTCAACTGCCCTCCCTTGCAGGCCTGGTCCCTCCCAACTGCCCTCCCCTACTGGCCATCTTTTAATGGCCATCTTGTGTCCACATGGCGGCAGGATCTGTGACCACATGTGTGTTGGAGTGATGGTCAATCTGCATATTACTCTTATTAGATAGGATAGAGGCCTGGTGCATGGGTGGGGGGCCTGCTGGTTTGCCCTGAAGGGTGACCTGGATCAGGGTGGGGGTTCTCTTGAGGCATGGGGTGGCCTGGACGAGGGGCCTGTGGTGGTTTGCAGGTCAGCCACGCCCCCTGGCGACCCAAGCAGAGGCCCTGGTATCTGCAATTTATTTACCTTCTACAATTGAAACTTTGTAGCCTTGAGTGGAGGCTTAGGCAGGCAAGGGCATGTGGAAAGCTTGGCTTCCTCTGTTGCCTGGGAAACCCAAGCCTTCCTCCTGCCATCTTGGTTGGGTTTATTTGCATACTCGCTTTGATTGGCTGGTGGGCGTGGCTTTTTAGTAGCAGAGTGATGTTAATTTACATATTACTCTTTTACTAGGTAGGATTTTTAGTTATTAGAAAGTTAATAGAATGTTTTCTTGTTTTTACATTTTTTACTCTTTAATTCTAGTGACCTGGTTCATACAACAGAAAGTCTTAGGAAATCAAAATTATCTGCTGTGAAAGCCGAAAAAGAAAGTGCCAATTTTGATTTTGTTTTGGAACCTTACAAACTTGAAAATACAAAATTGAGCAAAGAAAATAATGAATTATACCTGGAATTAATGAAACTGAGAGAACAATCGGCCCAACACATTAAAGGTAAAATGTGATTTTTCTTACAATGGCATATTTTTGCTCCCTTTCATTTTATGTATAGGAAAGGCAAGTCTAATTTTAAAACTATTTATTAGATAATGTGGTAGTCCTTTTGTAACAGCTCTTAAAATTCTGTAGGGTTTGTTGAAGAGTTCCTGAGAAGTAAAATAAATTTTCATTCCGTATCTGTATTTGTGTATACTGTAACTGGATTAAAATTTTAGATTTAAAATTGCTTGTAAAAAGGTTAACTGCTAGAACTGAGGGAATGTTCTTGAAACAACTTTTGTTTTTCATATACTGAAATTAAGAGGATTAAAGTAAGTTAAAAGCCTACTTCATTCTGATTCTTTAATTCATTTTGAGCTAGAAGGTACAATAAAATTACTTCAAAAATACTAGGCAAAGAGTAATTATATGGCTATTTTACTGTAAATTCTTACATTCATTTGAAAGCCCTGTCTAAAACCTGGCATGAATTCATAATTTCTTAGCTTTATATATCCAATTTACTAGGTCAAAAGCCATGGTGAATGAATATTACAGCAGAGAAAAAATATGATTACCTCTTGTGCTTAATGAGCTATTTGCAGTTTTGTTAATAGTAGTAGAAAAGGTAGTAGCCTTTCAAACAAAGCATGCATAAGAATTAGGTAGAGCCTTTCAAATTGGAACTTTTTGTATTTTGTGAAGTGGAAGAACTCCATAGATTTCTTGATCTGTAAAATAGTCTTTGAATCTTTTAAGAGCTGAAAACTACATTGAAGGAGAGTACACGTGAAACAGCTGATCTGAAATTTCTAAATAACCAGTATGTTCATAAACTCAAACTTTTGGAGAAAGAGAGCAAAGCTAAGAATGAAAAAATTCAACAACTTCAAGAAAAGAATTTGCATGCTGTTGTACAAACTCCAGGTACATCAGTTCCTTCTCTAAACAAATTATATACATCTATCTTTTAAAGATCTTTAAACTACTAACTGAAATGGGACTTTGGATTTTCATGCCTAGACTTTAGTATTTGAAAAAGTACCGTATGTTTGAATAGTCACATAAACTTCTTGATTTACTTCTGAATATCCAGATAGTATTTCTTACATGTGCTTAGAAGCTTCTTAGCTTCTTAGCTGTAAGAAGACTAACTTTAATGCCCAGAGTTTTATTTCCTTAATCTCCGTTTTAAATTCTCTTTCCTATTATTGTTATTATCCTATATAATAAAGAGGGAATATGCTAATTGACCATCACTCCATCAGAAAGATAGCTGCACCCACAGCTGAGGCCAAGTTCCCTTAAGGAGTCTTAACAAGCAATCAGCAGGGACCTGAGGCTATGCCCTCCCACACCCCCTTGGGCTTGATGGAACCTCAGCAACCCCCCCCCCCTCGCACACACACACCTGGCAGGGCTTGATGGGATCTCAAGGTGTACTTCCCATCCTGGTGCTGGACTAGGGGACCTCAGGCTGCTCCCCACACCCCAGGTGGGTCTTGACAGGGGACTTCAGGCTGCATCCACCACCCCAACACCAGGCTGGGGAACCTCAAGCCACACACCCACTCCAGCACCAGGCCAGGAGACTGAGGCTACACCCCCCTGCCTGGCAGAGCTTGACAGAGGAACTTAGGCCGCACCCCCCACCCAGTGGGGCTTGATGGGGGACCTGAGAGGCTGGCCTGTACCCTCTCGTAATCCGGGATCCCTCAGCCTGGCCTGTACCCTCTCGTAATCCGGGATCCCTCAGAGGCTGTTGAAGAGCTGATTTTGGCCCGGTCCCTCAGGCCAGGCCGAGGGACCCCACTGGTGCACAAATTCGTGCACCAGGCCTCTAGTTTTAGTTGTAAAAGTGATCTATACTTAAAGAATTTGGAAAAGATGTAATTTCTTAGTTTATTTTACTATCTTTGCCTTTATGCTCAGTTCTTGAACAAGAGAAAAGATGATGAGACATATCCAAGTTAATGGTTGTTTAGGCATAATGTCCAGTACTAATTGCAACGTCATTGAGATGTCTGAGCCATGGGATCAAGATCATGGGAGTAATTGAGGTGTAGAAAAGTGCAGGAGTATGAGATTAGGTAGATTGGGAAATTAAAGAGCAAAGGTGGCCGGGACCAGTTTGGCTCAATGGATAGAGCGTCGGCTTGGGGACTGAAGGGTCCAGGTTCGATTCCGGTCAAGGGCATGTACCTTGGTTGCGGGCATATCCCCAGCAGGGGGTGTGCAAGAGGCAGCTGATCGATGACTCTCTCTCATCGATGTTTCTAACTCTATCTCTCCCTTCTTCTCTGTATAAAATCAATAAAATATATTTAAAAAAATAAATAAAGCTTCTTTAAAAAAAAAAAAAGAGCAAAGTGGACCAATAGTAGCATGGTCAGATGAAGATTATGATAGAAGGGAGTTGAAGATCAAAAGCTAATATACTTCTAAATAGAGACAGAGAGAGTCCAAGCATAATCGTGTTGTTATGTACTTAAAACTGAGTGAAGAAACAGGAGAGTTGACAGATTAGGAATTGAGAGGCTAGGGTGGGGAAGAATCAGTGGAGCTCAAGGTGGCAGGAAATGAGAGGCAGACTGTCAGCCAATGGCAGAAAAGGTGGGGAAAGGTGGGGAAGATTTCAGAAATAACTGGAAGATTGAGAAAAAGAGGATAACCTGATTTCCTGAGAAAAATATAGGAGAGATTCAGGAGAGATTCAGAGATGTGATCTGTAGAATTTAGTAACTGAAATTGATAGGTTTGGAAGGTAAGGGGAATTATCAGACTTCTCAGTGGGTGGATAATGGTATTATTTCTCAAGCTAGGGAATGTGGGAGGTGGGGGCAGAAATCCACCTTTGGATTTTTATTTATCTATTAAAGGGTGTTATTTCCCATATAACACCCTTAACAATATGTTAAGGGTGTTATATGGGACAATCACATTGAGATTTCCAGTACGCAGTGGGGTATGTAGATCTGTTCTTAGAAGTGTGGTCCCAGATGGAAATTCAAGTTGGAAGCCTTTGGAGTATCTTGGAAATTGAAGCTATGGAATTATCTAGTGAGATTGTGTAGTTTGGGAGGAGAGGAGAAAGAAAGAGACCCTAGGGAAGTTCATATTTAAGGGACTTTTAGAAGAAGTTGTGAAAGAAATTGAGGAATACTAAGATAGGAAATCAGTAGATAAGGGAAGAAGAAAATGGTTTGTCTTGTTTAGGTGTGTAACTACAAGCAGGCCCTTTAAATATGTTTTTTTTTTTTTTTCATTTTTTTATTGATTAAGGTATTTCATGTGTCCATATCATCCCCATGGCGCCCCCCACACCCCATTCCCATACATGCCCTCACCCCCAATATCTTGTGTCCATTAGTTACACTTATATTTCAGTTATCTGCTCTTTTGGCATTGCTTAATAAGCATGTGTATTAAGGCAGTTCTCACTGTCTTAGGCTCCTTGTTTGACAATTTTCTATTGGTAGCAACTTCATGAGTACACAATAATAAACTCCACAAGACACACTTAAATTTTAATATTGCCAATATCTGGTACCCATCTATTGGAGGAATAGATTAATTCTGGGCACACATGGCATGCATGAATAAATTAAAACTTGTTTTATAACCTTATCTGTTGAGGTTTTCAGGAAGGCATCATTTAAAGATCAGAGTGGGTATTTATATATGGGGGAGAAAATATTTTCTCCATATATAAGATGAGCTTGAGACATACTGTATTGACAAAAAGGCCAATCTTCTGGAATATTTAATTCTAAGACAGTGGTTTGTTTGTTTTTAATTTTTTTTTAATATACATTTATTTTCTTTAGGCGGCAAGAAAAGAAGTATTGCTTTTAGGCGCCAGCGAATGCAAATTGACCAACCAGTCCCTCCTTCTGAAGTCAGTTCCTATCCAGTTCCTCAGCCAGATGACCCTTACATTGCAGACCTCCTACAAGTGGCTGATAACAGGTGCATTAAATAATTTCTTGTTGACTTTAGTTAATTGACCCCTTAACTGTAAATTTTTTGACTGGGGGGCTTTTGTCTCATTAACTATTGTATCTCTAGTGCCTAGCCGAGAGCTTTATAGAAGCACTCAGTAAATATTTTATGAATGTATTCTGAATATACCATTTTTAAATTTGTTTTGTAACTTTGATTTCAGATAGATCATATGCCTGCTGTTTCTGCCCATATTTGCTTTAAAACTGTTTAGTGCCATTTAGAATCTTATTTCAGAAAGTTGCTTTGACATTTGGTTTCATCAATCAAAGTAAAGTTCTCTTTTATAGGACTGTTACTTCAGATTTATGTCAAATGCTGATGGACATGGATAGATTTGCAATTGGCTTTGAAATTCTTCCTTCAAAATTCTTGCTTCTTGATTCTTTAGTTCTATATGTTTGCATTTGCTTAAATTGTAATCAGATACACATTTCGTTTCAACTAAGCTTTCTAGGAAAGGCACAATGTAAGTGTTGTAGAGATGTAAAAATGAGTAAGAAGGGGGTTGCTGCTTTTAAGAAGCTTACAATCTTGCAGTGAAGATGAGACAAGAGAATACACAAAATGCTATTAAGAAAATTATGGGGCCGAAGCCAGTTTGGCTCAATGGATAGAGCGTCGGCTTGGTGACTGAAGGGTCCCGGGTTCAATTCTGGTCAAGGGCATGTACCGTGGTTGCGGGCATATCCCCAGTGGGGGGTGTGCAAGAGGCAGCTGATCGATGACTCTCGCATCGATGTTTCTAACTCTCTATCTCTCTCTTTTCCTCTCTGTACAAAATCAATAAAACATATTTAAAAAAAAAAAAGAAAATTATGGGGCCCGGCTGGTGTGTCTCAGTGACTGAGCATTGACTTACAAACCAAGAGGTCACGCACATGCTTGGGTTGTGGGCTCGGTCCCCAGTGAGGGTATGCAAGATGCAGCCGATTGATGATTCCCTCGTCATTAATGTTTCTTCCCCTCTCCTCATCCTTCTTTCTGAAATCAATAAAAACTTCTTTTTTTTTTTTTTTAAGAAAAGTATGAGGGATTCAAAGGAGCAAGAGAACACTAGTGACAGCTTCTATGGTCATAGCTGGAGAAACATTAAAATAAGAATATACCAATAGAAATAGTGCAGATAACTTTTATTATTATTATTATTATTATTATTTTAGCCTTATCTGAGGATATGTTTATTGATTTTAAAGAGGGATGAAGGGAGAGAGAAAGACAGAGACATATCAATATGAGAGAGAAACATCAATACATCAATTGGTTGCCTCCTATACGTGCTCTGGCCAAGGATTGACCTGCAACTTAGGTATGTGCCCTGACTGGGAAACGAATCCACAACCTTACAGTGTATGGGATGCACTCCAATTAACTGACACCTTGCCAGGGCTAGTACAGATTACTTTTAATTTTGTGGATTATGCAGAGACTATGGGGAAGTTTTCCCACTTTATTAATATCCTATCTAATAAAAGAGTAATATGCAAATTGACCATACCTCCGCTACACCCACCAGCTATGCCCACCAGCCAATCAGAGTGAGTACGCAAATAAACCCAACAAAGATGGCTGCAGCCACAGAGAGCAGGAGGGAGGCTTGGGTTTCTCCAGCAACAGAGGAAGCCAAGCTTTCCGTGTGACCTTGCCTGCCTAGGCCTCTACTCCGTGCTACAAAGTTTCAATTATAGAAGGTAAATAAATTCCAACAGAAATTGCTATAGGAGGTTTTGCTACAGGCTACAAAGTTTCAATTGTAGAAGATACATAAATCCCAAATACCAGGGCCTCTGCTTGGGTCGCCAGGGGGCGTGGCTGACCTGCAAACCACCATAGACCCCCTCACCCAGGCCACCCCACACCCCAAAGGAACCCCCACCCTGATCCGGGACACTCTTCAGGGCAAACCAGCTGGCCCCCACACATGTACCAGGCCTCTATCCTATAATAAAAGAGTAATTGCAGATTGACCATCACTCCAACACACAAGATGGCTGCTGCCATGTGGTCACAGATCTTGCCCCCATGTGGACACAAGATGGCCAGCAGGAGAGGACAGTTGAGAGGGAACAGGCCTGCAAAGGAAGGCAGTTGGGAGTAATCAAGCCTGCAGGGGAGGGCAGTTAGGGGTGACCAGACTGACAGAGGAGAGAAGTTGGGGATGACCAGGCCTGCAGGGAAGGGCAGTTGGGTGGAACCCAGGCCTGCAGGGGAGAGCAGTTGGGGGGGACCAGGCATGCAGGGAAGGACAGTTAGGAGTGACCAGGCCAACAGAGGAGGGAAGTTGGGGACAAACAGGCTGGCAGCAGAGTGGTTAGGGGGTGATCAGGCTCGCAGGCAGAAGCAATTAGGGGCAATCAGGAAGGCAGACAGGCGAGCAGTTGGGAACCAGCAGTCCTGGATTGTGAGAGGGATGTCCGACTGCCCGTTCAGGCTCAATCCCAGTGAACAATCAGACATTCCTCGAGGGATCGCAGATTGGAGTAGTTGCAGACTGGGCTGAGGGACACCCCCTCCCCCCAAGCATGAATTTTGTGCACTGGGCCTTTAGTACAAATAAAAGATAAACATGCAAATTGACTGTACCTCTGCTATACCCACAAGCCACGCCCACCAGCCAATCAGGTGTGGGTATGCAAATTAACCCAACCAAGATGACAGCGGCCACAGAGCTGGAGGCTTGGGTTGCCCCAGCAATGAAGGAAGCCAAGCTTCTTGTCCACCCTAGCTGCCTCTGGCCTCCACTCAAGGAGGTGCTGGAAAAAAAAAAAAGGAGGGGCTGTGAGCTTGGGCCTCTGAGGGGTGATCAGGCCAGGATGGGACAGCAGTTGTGGGTGAGTAGGCTGGTGGGGGGGGGGGGGGGGCGAGGCCATTAGGATTAAGCAGACCATCAGTGGGGGTCAGTTGGAGGTGATTAGAACCGCGGGGAGGCAGTTTGGAATGAGCAGGCAAGCAGGGGAGCAGTTAGGGGTGAGCAGGCCAGTAGGGGGGGGCATTTGGGGATGATCAGGCTGGTGTGGAGGCATTTGGGGGCAAGCAGGCTGGTGGCAGGGGCAATTGGGGGCGAGCAGGCTGGCAGGCAGGCAGGTGAGCAGCTGGAGCCAGCAGTTCTAGATCATGAGAGGGTTGTCCAACTGCTGCTTTAGGCCCGATCCCTATAAACTAGCGGTAGGACATCCTTTGAGAGGTCCCAGATTAGAGAGGGTGCAGGCTGGACTGAGGAACATCCTCCTCCCTCCGTGCACAAATTTTGTGCACTGGGCCACTAGTATCAATATAACAACCTAGAAAGGTAACTATGGTTATCTTAGCTCAGTTATTTCACACAGTGTTATGTATCTGTATTTATACAACTAGAGGCCCATGCACAAAATTTGTGCATGGGGACTGGGGGGGGTTCCCTCAGCCCAACTTGAACCCTCTCCAATCTAGGACCTTTGAGGAATGTCCAACTGCCTGTTTAGTCTAAATGGGCAGTTGGATATCCCTCTCACAATCCAGGACTGTTGGCTCCCAATTGCTCACTTGCCTGCCTTCCTGATTGCCCCTAATCGCTTCTGCCTGCCAACCTGATCACCCTAACCACTCCACTGTCAGCCTGATTGATGTCTGACTGCTCCCCTGCCAACCTTTTTTGCCCCCAACTTCCCTCCTCTGCCATCCTAGTCACCCCTAACTGCCCTCCCCTGCAAGCTTGATTTCCTCCAACTGCCTTCCCTTGCGGCCCTGGTCTCTCCCAACTGCCCTCCCCTGCTGGCCATCTTGTGCTGGCCATCTTGTGTCCACAGGGGGGCAGGATCTTTGACCACATAGGGGCAGCTATCTTGATCTTGTGTGTTGGAGTGATGGTCAATCTGGATATTACTATTTTATTAGATAAGATAGAGGCCTGGTGCACAGGTGGGGACCAGCTGGTTTGTCCTGAAGAGTGTCCCAGGTTAGGGTGAGGTTCCATTGGGGCATGGAGTGGCCTGCGTGAGGGGCCTGTGGTGGTTTGCAGGTCAGCCCTGCCCCCTGGTGACCCAAGTGAAGGCCCTGGTATCTGGGATATATTTACCTTCTACAACTGAAACTTTGTAGCCTTGGGTGGAGGCCTGGGTCCACCAGAGTGTGTGGAAAGCTTGGCTTCCTCTGTTGTCTGGGAAACCCAAACCTTCCAGCCATCTTGGTTGGGTTTATTTGTATACTCGCTCTGATTGGCTGGTGGGCATGGCTTGTGGGTATAGCGGAGTGATGGTTAATTTGCATATAATTCTTTTATTAGGTGGGATTATCTGATCTTAATTGTAAAATATTTTGTGTGCTTATATTACAGTTATAATCTAGGGCTTCTTAAATAATACATTAGTATTATTTAAGGAAGGTTTTTTTAAGCTACATATATATCATTTTCTGACTTTACCTTTGTCTTTATCATTTTTCTTCTCTATTAAGCCATCAGAGATGGCATTAGTCTCTTGATTATCTTGTTTTAATTTGCACATGCAAATTGTGTTTGCATTCAGTCATTTGTGCATATTTTGAGTGCAGTTGGATATGTACTCTTCTCCTAAGCCTAGATGAGTAGAAAATGTGGTTTCAATAATAGCAGGGATGAGCTGTGTTCAGCCTTACTCACTCCACTCCATGGAAACTTTCTTAAAGCAGATCTGGTTTCAGGCTTTATCTTTCCAGTAGGAATATAGTTGTGTTATTTATATATTAACTAGAGGCCTGGTGCATGAAATTCATGCACTGGAGGTCGGGGAGGGGGGGTCATCCCTCAGCCTGGCTTGTGCCCTCTCGCAGTCCGGTAGCCCCACAATCGATCACCCCAGAGATGTAGGCCCTGCCCACCCAGCTGGGGCTCTGAGAAGAATCACCCTGCCCCAGCCTGCCCATCGGTGGCCTGGGCTTTCCTCTTTGGGACGATTGTGGAGCCCGTAAGTTGGTTGCCCCGCCAGCCAGTGGCCTGGGCCTCCCTCTGCTGGGCGATCCTGGGGCATTGATGGGGCCCCTTGACCAATCACTTTGCACCACCTTGGCTGGCCTGGTGCCAATGGGTGTCATAGCATGGTTGTCTGGAAGGTCGTGCCTCTCTTTGGAAGGTGGTTCTGCTATTTGGCCATCAATTTGCATATTACGCTTTAATTTTTATAGATGCTTGAAAAGGCTGGATATAGTACAAATACATTTGGGCAATTGTAGAATTCAGGTGATTTGGACAAATCTTGATTCTGTTAGAATTAATAGGTCCCAGAAAAGAGTGGCTTTTTTATTTTATTTCTTTGTAATTCTTAGGAAATTATAGTATATATCAATATTTTTCTTTTCTCCAGGATTATAGGATAGTTTATTAAAAAATACAGAATCAGTTAGGATCAGAAAACCTGTTTAAGGCCTTTATTTCACTTAATATTATGAATTCTTGACTTTATTCTCAATTTCCTGAACCTAAGCATTAGCAACAGCATCTCAAAGAGTTGTCCTAAGGATCAAAATGCAATAGTAGGTCTTTTATTGCATAATATATCTGAATTTAAAATTATTTACCACTCAGTTCTTTTTCTTTTTTTTTTAATATATATTTTATTGATTTTTTTTAGAGAAGAAGAGAGAGGGATAGAGAGTTATAAACATCGATAAGAGAGAAACATCGATCAGCTACCTCCTGCAAATCCTCTACTGGGGATGTGCCCACAACCAAGGTACATGCCCTTGACCAGAATGGAACCCATGACCCTTCTGTCCGCAGGCCAATGCTCTATCCATTGAGCCAAACTGATTAGGGCTACCACTCAGTTCTTTACCACTCAGTTTTTCTTATAAAATTAACTCTGAAAGATGATATACTCCATTTATGCATGGCACAACACTTCATAATTCATTGAGAAACAAACAAAGAGTTTATTAAAGACTGTGTCTAGTTCCATTTCTTGTTATTTTGTATTTCTTAGCAAAAGTATATTAGCATTGGTTATAAATGTGTTTCAGAATTCAAGAACTTCAAGAGGAAGTCCATCAGTTACAAGAAAAATTAGCCTTGTTGGAAAGTGGACTGAGAGATTACAACAAGCAGGTAGGATGTTTGTTTGTTTGTATAGTAGGGATTGAGAGCATATACTTTTATTATAAATATATTTGGGTTGTATTTGATATTATACTAAGTTTTTATATGGTTTTTATATTTTTCATCAATTTGTTAATAGAGTTAATAGCTGGAGTGGATTAGATGGTTTTAGAGCAATTCTAGTCCATTTCACTTCATTATGCATTTAGGTGAATAGTAGTTTTTTGTTTTGTTACTTTGTTTTTCTTTTAGGTGAATCATCAACTTCCCCAAATATAATTTTATGACTATGTTACTATTTTCATCTCAGGAAATAGTTTATAAAGTATGCTATGCATTTTAATGATCTTATAATTTGTTTTTTTACTCTAAACATACAGATTTTGTCATTTTGAATATGTCTCCTTGAAAGTTATTCTTCTATTACCATATATTTTGTATTTTCTACAAGTAATGTATTTCAAAATAGTTTTCTAAAGTGGGGGAATTAATATGGAGTTAGATCACGACCATACAACTTTTGTTCTTTCATACTTCCTGTTGGTGTCTTGACAAAATTCTGATTTAGGTAATTACAGATTTTCTTCCTTAATACGCTTACTGAAGTTTAAATTGGGTAACAATTTTTTATTTTCTGCATTTTTTTGGAGTGATGTGATCTGTACATGCAAATATAGAAGTAACTTGTGTTGTTATAACTCTTACTTTCATGAAGTACTTTGAAGATTATTTGGATTAAAATTGAGTTTAAAGAAAAGGGATAATATTAATGTCAGATAAAAAAACTTACTTTATGGAGAGATGTTGAAAACACCAAATATGCACATGAGTTGACTATTACTGGTATTTTTCGACCTATAATCATATTTTCATTATATTTTTTCAAAGTACTTTATGAACATAAACCCACCAGTCTTCTTCATCTCTGTGAGATGCCTGAGGTATTTGGAGAAAATAACCTAACCATGCTGATGGAAACCACCAAGTTATTGTGGTTATAAATCTTAGCTTGCCTTATCATCTTCATTATTATTATTATTATTTTGCTTGAGTTTTGTTTTTCTAAGCATATATTCTAAATTTTGCTGTTCTCTCAAACTCTTTCCACAACCTATAATCCTCCTCACTATATAACCTTGTTTCAACTTCCTATATCTATTTGTAATTTTAAAACTAGCAGTATTCATACTCAGTATTCATACTTGCAAGCCTTCATGCATAGAATAATGTTCTTCCAGTTTAAGGTTTAGTCTTTCTCCCTCTGTTTTGGTCCCATTTCCTTTCTTTTCCTTAAGACCTTGCTTTAACTGATAATTTTTTTTTTACCAAACACTTACCTGACCATTTTATAGTTATTAATTTTTTAATCGTCTTAACAGTCATCTGAGAAGGTTCTATGATAATCATCACTACCATCCCTTAAAAAAATCTTTTAACTACTCTCCATCTTGCTAATGCCTTATTCTTCTCCTTCATGCACGCTTCTTTAAAGCATCTTACTCTTCTGTGTCCACTTCTTTCTTTCCTGCTTATTCCTTAACCTGTTGCAGTCTGGCTTCTGCCCCCACCGCACACATTGGTCTAGTTAATGACACCAGTGACATTAATTGCTAGATCCAAAAGGACACTTTTACTCTTTCTTTTCTTGACCCACTCTGTAGAATTTGCATTATTGATAATTTCTCATTGAAACTCTTGTATGACTTCATTTTGTTTTTTAACCTCTTACAATTTTTTCTTTGCTTTTTTTCCTCTGCCCATTCCCTGAAATATTACTGTTTTCCAGGATTCTGACTTTGACTCCTTCTCCTGTTCTTATATGTTTTCTCAGGTGGTTTCATGTTGATTTAAAATATTGTCTGTATGTTGATGCCCCCAAATTCTTTCAGGCTTGAACCTGTCTTTAGAGCTCCAAACCCATATACCCAACTTAACACTGGGCATTTCCAGTTGGATAAAGGCTCTTCATACTCATATGCCTAGTCCAGAACTTATCATTTGCCTCATATCTCTTTTTCTTCCTGTGTTTCCTGCTTTGGTTGGTAGCCTCACCACCTGCCCAAGTCAACATTCTGTATTCTTTTTTTTTTTTTTTTTTTTTTTTTTTTAATATATTTTATTGATTTTTTTTTACAGAGAGGAAGGGAGAGAGATAGAGAGCTAGAAACATCGAGAGAGAGACATCGAACAGCTGACTCCTGCACACCCCCTACCGGGGAATGTGCCCACAACCAACGTACATGCCCTTGACCGGAATCGAACCTGGGACTTTTCAGTCTGCAGACCGATGCCCTATCCACTGAGCCAAACCGGTTTCGGCCTGTAGTCTTTTTAGATCCTGTTCTCTTCCTTCTAGTCACCAAGTTTTATCAGTTCTCCTGCCTAAGCACTCCTTAGACTTACTTGTTCTGCTCTACCCTGTTCCACTTTTTTATTTTAAGCCTTAATCATCTCTTATCCATTCTTTTTTTTCTTTTCTTTTTTCTCATCCATTCTTATAGTAGGTTTTCCTGCCTCTGGCTTTATTCTTATCAAATCCATCCTTTAGTCCAGAGTAATCTTTCTCCTAGGCTAAGTATTTAATATTTATCATAATTAGTTTCTGCCTAATTCTTTGCACTCATCTCCAATCATTAGTTTTCTTGTATATTACAGTCCAGTCATACAGAGCCATTTCTACTACCTCCAACATGCCATGTTGTTTTATATTTCTGTGTCACTGCCTTGAACATATCCTCCTCCTCCTCTTCACAGCATCATTTATTATTACCATTTGAGTGTATTTATTTAATAAGACCTGCACTAATTTCTATAGGTATGTGCGTATCAGAAAGAATAAATAAATTTATTCCCTTAATTATTTTGGTGCCATATACCTATTTTCTTTATTCTATCATTAAACAGCAAATTCCACAGCAATTATTGGTTCACTTGTTAATGTTCCTTGTAAAGCTGTTTCTCTGAAAATCAGGGACCATGTTTTATTTATCTTTGTATACCTAGAACTGTGCTCAATAATGGGTGAATAGAATGCTTAGTTTTTAATTTTTTTTTTTTTAAACCAAAGCTTGAAAGTGTGTGGGTTTTTCTAAATTCTTGCATGTAAGTGTGAATTCATAATGAATAGTGATCTTTTTTTAATTATACATTTGTTTTTTAAATGAGAGATAATTGAATTCACACAAAGTTTCTATCCTTTTCAATACCAGTTTCAGTAGCAATTCATTTTTGTGTTTTATATTGTTTAGTCTACATTTATTCCACCAGGCACTGAAGTAGTTCAGACTCAGTTTCAATGTTCAACAATTTCCTTTTATATAAACACTGCCTAATTTTGGAGAAGAGTAAACACCAAAAACTCAATTAGGAAGAATCTATTCATAGAAATAGTTACAAAAGCTATGTTGACAGTTCTTATGTTGACATTATCTGTGTTTATTTTTGCTCTACATATATGTATTTCATAGCTCATAAAGAGTGGAAACATATATGTTATTCTCTTTTACACACTGTTCAACATAAGAAAAATGGAAATATAGCCAAATGTTTATTCGATGTTAATCATTTTAGTTCAAAACAAGATTTTTAAAAATGATGTCATGACTTTATGTTTTCAGATTGAATTAAGAGAACGAGAGATAGAACGACTGTCCATTGCATTGGATGGTGGCCGCTCCTCTGATATCCTCTCTCTGGAGTCTAAAAATAAAACCAACGAAAAAATTATTGCTCATTTAAATATTCAGGTAATGACTTTTATCATTATTTTACTGAGTATATAAACTCTTGTTTATAATGGTCCACAGGTTTGTAAAAGTGACAGTATAGTTCACTGAAGTATTATTTATAGTGGGAAATTTTTGATAGAGCCAGAGTATTCAGATATAGGGGGCAGCTATTGAAAAATCTTATTTGTAATGAATATCTAATGAGGCAGGAATATATATACATCATAATGTTAAATATTTAAAAGAAGAGAATAAACTATGGATACAATGTGATCTTTAATTTGCTTTTAAAAAATGTATATATGAACTCAGAGAGGGAAAACACTGGAAGAAAAGAAACCAAAATATTCTAACAGTTTATCTTTGTGTGATGGGATAGTCTTCTTTATGATACTCTTTGTTTTAAAAAATAAGTAGCAAAATTAAACTTGGGGTTTTAACTGCCTATGTAATGGATTCACTGTCATGCATTTGACCTGAAAGTGAAAGAACAAGTCCATAAAGCATGACACATGACCTTTAGAAATGTAGACATATCAGTGATGCCCGAGATGAACCAGAATAGAGTAAGGCAGTACACATATTTTATGAGCCATGTATGTAACATAAAATTTTCTAGTAGCCAGATTAAAGAAGTAAAAAGAAACAGGTGAGATTGATTTTAATAATATATTAATCTCAATGTATCTAAAATATTTTTACAATCTCTAATTCATGTTGTAAAATATATTTGAGATATTGTACATTCTTTTTATATTTTTGTGCTGTCTTTGAAATCTTGTGTATATTTTATATTCATAGCACATCTCAGTTTGGACTAGCTACATTAAAAGTGCCCAGTAGCCACATGTGGGTGCTGGTGGCCACTACATTGGATAGCACGTATAGAGTAATATTATCATCTTAGTGATATTTTCATCATAGTTTTAGAACTAGATGTTGGAAAATGGTCACACAAATTTTTTACTTGTCCTTTTCTTCCATGCTGAAAAATCTAAAGCCAATTTTAAGTCAGACATTATCAGTTTTGCAAATCAAAACAAAATGCTTGTGAATGTAAAATAGTTGTGGTTTTAAATTTTGTATTTTAAAAATACAGTATTTCTGGAAATATAATTTTGAAAGTTTAGTATTTAGGATAATTTTTCATTTTGTATTTCTTACAAATTACAAATTCAATGTAGGTTGACTTTCTTCAGCAAGCTAATAAAGACCTGGAGAAACATATACAAGACCTTATGGAAACGAAGGAAACAGTGACTACTGAAGTTGTTAATTTAAGTAACAAAAATGAAAAACTTTGCCAAGAATTAACTGAAATAGACCAGTTAGCACAGCAGTTGGAAAGACATAAAGAAGAAGTGCTTGAGACTGCGGATAAAGAACTGGGGGAAGCAAAGGTATTTCTGTACTGCGGGAGTGTTTATTAATTCTCTTAGAATATATGAGCTTATGCCCTTTTGATATCCGGTTCAGTTCTTTTGGTTGGTTTGTTTTGTAATTCATGTTTTTCTAAAGTGTTTATACTTTCTAAAAGCTTGCATTTGTTCTAGTTGTTTGTGTTTCTGAAGCACACCTGTATCTAAGATAGTTCTCTAGACTCCTATTTTTCTTCAAGATTTCTGTCTGTCCTTTTATTTCTCCATTGTGAGTGAACATTAGAAATTTGTCATCTGTCATTTTGTGCTCATAAATCCTTTAAAGGTTTAAAAAAAAAAACACACTATTTTTGTCCTTGCACATTTTTAATTTGGTAAGTAATATTTTTCATCTTAAATTTAAATAGCTGCAAAGGATGTAAATTCACCTGTTGTAACTATTGATCTCTTAAAATAAAACTGTCACATCATTCTTTTAAAGTAGCTGATAAAATCAAGTAAACTTTTCTTGAAATCCTCACAGAATTTTATCCTGTGCTTGAATATCTCCTTATGATCACTCTATCAAAAGTCTCTGTAATAAAAAAATATATAATGTGAAATAATTTATTTTTTAAAATGTCCTGTAACTATATGGTTCATAGTGTTAACATTTTCCTCTGAATGGTGTTATTCTACTTACTAGTAATCAGTAGTTCAGTGTGACAGATGTCACACATTTTGATAATACTTATTAAATACTAAGTAAATCTACTAAAATTTTATTGGAAATACATCTCTTAATAAGATATAATGGGAGAAAATAGTGCCTAAGGTTTTGGCCAGCCCTTATGGAAGGGCTGGTGAAAGACTGAAAGCTTTTTCTCTAAGATCAGAAAAAAGGTAAGGATGCCCATTTTAAAAAATATATATATTTTATTGATTTTTTTTTTTTTTTTTTTTTTTTTTACAGAGAGGAAGGGAGAGGGATAGAGAGTTAGAAACAACAATGAGAGAGAAACATCAATCAGCTGCCTCCTGAACACCCCTCACTGAGGATGTGCCCGCAACCAAGATACATGCCCTTGACCGGAACTGAACCTGGGACCTTTCAGTCCGTAGGCCAACGCTCTATCCACTGAGCCAAACCAGTTTTGGCAAGGATGCCCATTCTTCCACTTCTGTGCAACATAGTACTGGAAATTGTAGCCAGAGCACTTAGGCAAGAAAAAGAAATAAAAGGCATTACATGGGAAAGAAAGAAGTAAAATGTTTCCAGATGACATAATCATATATTTCAAAAACCCTAATGATTTCACACACACAAACAAAAATCACAGAATAACAAATCCAGCAAAATTGCAGGGTACAAAAGCAGCATACAAAAATCAAGTGAGTTTCGATACACGAATAATTAAAATTCAAATAGGGAAATGAATAATCCCAATTACAATAGCATAAAAAAAGAATAAAATACTTAGGACTAATCTTAACCAATAAAGTGAAAGACATGTACACTAAAAACTATAAAATATTGTTGAAAGGTATTAAAACAGTTGCAGTACCAAGGTTTCAGGTTGGTAGTAGCAGGTGGGGAGAAAGCAAATAGGATAGGAATATCAGGAAATGAGACTCCCCTAAGTTGAATTCTAAAAACTAGGATTCAAGGAAAGCCCTACAAATATATAGGTGAAAAAAGATTTTCAAGTGACTCTCTTGCTTCAGCTGTTACAAATAGGTCTCTGTATTCAAGATGCCAAGAAATTAAAGAAAAGCCTGAACTATGCCTCCTCTTCATTGAAATTGAGGCTGAGGGCTAAAGCCTCAGGTCACATGGGCGAGAGGGAGCATCAACCACTTGAAAAAATGGCCTATTTGTAATGTGACTTAATGCTAAGTAGTCTTGATTTTTAAGTTTTTACCTAATAGGCTTTTTATTCCTAGAAAGAGATTAAAAGAAATATTTCTGAAATGCGTAATCTTGAAGAAACAATGGCAAAACTTCAGCTGGTAAGTACTTGTTATATTAAATCGTCAGAATTTTTGATAAGATTTTTATGCTTTATTTTACATATATTTTAACTTAGATATGATTTACACGTCGTAATATTCACTCTTTTAAGTGTATATTTTAGTGGTTTTAGTATAGTCATTAAGTAATGCAGACATCATTACTGTCTAATAACAGGGCATTTTCTTCTATTCAGCCCTTGAAACTAATAATCTACTTTTCTGTTTCTATAGATTTGCCTATCTTGGACAGTTTATATAAATGGTACCATATAATATGTGGCCTTTTGTGCCTGGCTTCTTTTATTTAGCACAATGTTTTCAAGATTCATGCTTATAGCATACATCCAGTGCTTCCTTTTTATGGCTGAGTAATATTCCACTTGTATGGATATATTTAATTTGATTTATATTTTATAATTTCATATGTGGTAGTTGGCAAATTAAATTCAAATAGTGAAATCTGTTAGAAATTTTATATTCATTTTAATATTTCTTGTCAGTTTATAAATACTAAAACTAGAAATTGATAATTACTTGATAACATTGTTGACTTTTTTTTTAATCATTGTTGTTGAGAGTATTACAGTCGTCTCCCTTTTCTCCCCCACTGTCCGTGTCATCCCCGCCCCTGTTCCTGCCCTGCCCCAGGCCTTTACCACCCTATTGTCTGTGTCCATAGGTAATGCATACATGTATATAAGTTCTTTTTTTTAAATGTATTTTTACTGATTTCAGAGAGGAAGGGAGATGGACAGAGAGATACAAACATCAAAGAGAATCATTGATTGGCTGGCTGCCTCCTGCATGCTCCCCATTGCCTGCCTGATTGAGCCTGCAACCCCGGGCATGTGTTCTGGACCAGAATTGAACCCCTGACCTTTTGGTCTGCAGGACAATGCTCTATCCACTGAGCCAAACGAGCCAGGACTACATATAAGTTCTTTGGTTAATCTCTTCCCACACCCCCTCCCTCCATACCCACATTCCCTCCGAGATTCATCTGTTCCATATTTCCATGCCTCAGGTTCTATTTTATTCATCAGTTTATTTTGTTCATTTATTTTTAGATTCAATTGTTGATAGATAGGTATTTGTCATTTCATTTTTCATATCTTTTATTTATTTTTCTTCTTCCTCTTCAAGAATCTCCTTCAATATTTCTTTAATTGATTAAGAAATATTGATTAAGGTTTAAATTTCTTTATTGATTAAGGTATCACATATTTGTCCTCATTCCCATCCCAAATCCCTCCCCACGCATGCCTCTGCCCCCCTGTTGTCCTTGACTACTGGTTAGGCTCATATGGATGTACACAAGTCCTTTGGTTGATCTCTCCCTTTTATCCCCAGCTTCCCCCAATCCTCTCTCTGAGTTCCGACAGTCTGATCCATGCCTTCTTGTCTCTGGGTCTATTCTTATTCATCAGTCTATGTTTTCATCCTTCAGCATTTCATGTAATACTAGTTTGGTGGTGATGAACTCCTTTAGGTTTTTGGGGTTTTTTTTGACAGTGAATCTCTTTATCTGACCTTTAATTCTAAATAAGAGCTTTGCTGGGTAGAATAATCTTGGTTGTAGGTACTTGTTATTCATCACTTTGAATATTTCTTGCCATTCCCTTCTGGCCTGCAAAGTTTTTTTGTTTTGTTTTTTAAATATATTTTATTGATTTTTTACAGAGAGGAAGGGGAGAGAGATAGAGAGCTAGAAACGTCCATGAGAGAGAAACATCGACCAGCTGCCTCTTGCACACCCCCTACTGGGAATGTGCCCACAACCAACGTACATGCCCCTCACAGGAATCGAACCTGGGACCCTCAGTCCCCAAGCCGACGCTCTATCCATTGAGCCAAACTGGTCTTGGCAGTCCTCTTTTAATAGTTTGCCTAGCTATCCTATTTGTTCTGGTAATCTTCAAATCAGAATAACGGTAATCATTCCAGCATAAGACTAGACATAGAATATTATCCTATACTAGAGAACCGGTGTATGAAATTTATGCATGGTGGAGGGAGGGAAAAAGGGTCCTTCAGCCCAGCCTTCACCCTTGCATTCCGGGACCCCTCAGGGGATGCCCAACTGCCTGTTGATTGCCTCTATCTGCCTGCCTGATTGCCCCTAAACACTCGCCTGCCTGATCACTCCTAACTGCTTGCCTGCCTGCCTGATCACCTCTAACCACCTCTGCCTGCCTGCCTGATCACCTCTAACCATCTCTGCCTGCCTGCTTGATCACCTCTAACCATCTCTGCCTGCCTGCCTGATCACCTCTAAACACATCTGCCTGCGTGCCTGATCACCTCTAACCACTCTGCCTGCCTGTTTGATCATCTCTAACCACCTCTGCCTGCCTTCCTGATTGCCCCTAACCACTCCCTGCCTGCCTGATCACTCATAACTGCTTACCTGCCTGCCTGATCATCTCTCACCATGCCTGCCTGATCGCCCCGAACCACCTCTACCTCAGCCCCTTTCTCCACAGCTTCATTTGGAAGGATGTCTAGAAGGTCGTTCAGCTGTTTGGTCTAATTAGCATATTATGCTTTTATTATTATAGATACTCTAGAACTGACAGAATTTGCTAACAGGCAGAAATTCCTGGGTGGTCATCCAAAAGGTTATTGAGGATTTTGTTAATACCTGTTAAATTGAATGAGTATCTATAGGAAAAAACAACTAATACTAATTTCTAGATTATCTTGTTATGTAAGCTCTTTATATAGTCTGATACAGTGGTCGCCATCCTTTTGGACCTCAGGGACCACCGGATGGTGACCCTGTGTTCTAGTGGCATAAGGCATATTTGAAAATGAAGCCATTGTGACATGCTGGCACATAATAGGTAATCAAATACTTGTGATTTTCATATGCTCACTATGGACAACATATCACAATGGCTTCCTTTTTATCCAACTGTAGGTTTTCAATTCAGTTCAATATTGAATAATTGAATTAGCTAAACCTGTTAACCGTTCACTCTTGAGTCTCAGAGATATTGTAAATTTCTCCCATGAGCTCAATGAACAGAAAGTAGACAAACATCTGTAATGTTTGATGATGTCTTTACATCATAAAACTCATTGTTAGCTCCATGATGGCAAGTACTTTTGCTGCTTGCTTGCTGCTGTTTGTATGCACCCTATAAACAGTTGAATGTGATTCAGAGTGCTTGTCTCAGAACTATGCCCATTTTTAGCCAGTGTTGGCTGACAATCAGATGCTGCTATAATTACTCTCTGGCCTGTCTTATCTTTTCTAATAGTGCCATATTTTATGTATTTTTAAGAAAAGTGTTAATATATATAGCTAACATTTATTAAGCACAATTGCCATGTGCTGGACACTGTGCAGAGTGCATTATATCCATAGACAGTTCTCACCAGTGAATCCGCAGTGTCTTGTTACTGGTCCTATCCCCATTGTGCAGGTGAGGCTGAGAGAATAAGCAAGCTAATTGCAGACACCTATGGTAGTCTTGAACTCTAGGTCTTTCTCCGGCCCTCCTTTAAAAATAAAAACATTAAAAATTTTTATTGCACAGTACATTTTTTTTTTTTAAGATATGGGATAGAACACTATTAACATTTAAGTTTTATGTTGTTTTTAGCCACAATTGATAATTACTAGTAACTTTTAGTTGAAACCACATATTTGACTAAAAGTGTTTATGTATGTATGAATGTGACTTACTCTTAAATAACCATGCTTTTAAATATATATTTTAGTCCTTGCCTAAGGACTAAGTTAGTTGGAGCATTGTCCTGTATACACAAAGGTGGCTAAGTTAGTTGGAGCATTGTCCCATATACCCAAAGGTTATGGGTTCAATCCCAAGTTGGTGCTATGTTATTTTCTAAAGTTGCTTGAAATCTTAATTAAAATATTAAAATTTGCAGGAATTAAACTTATGCCATAAAGAAAAAGAGAGACTGAGTGATGAGCTTCTTATTAGATCAGACTTGGAAACTGTTGTTCATCAGCTTGAACAAGAAAACCAAAGACTTAACAAAAAAATGGAAAGTTTTGGAGTTACAGGTAAAATATAAAATGTTGGTAACTTAAAAAATGATTGTGATTATTTTTCGTAGGAGATTATCTTTCATTCATTCAATAAATACTTTTAAAGAGTGCTTGCTATATAATCGACACTGTAGGTACAATAGAATATCACTCTCCCTCAAGGACCTTGCAGAATTCTTTTTATTTTGACTAGCTAGTATAGGAAACCATGCTTGAATAGTTTCCAGTAGAATGCTATCCTTCTTTGAGGCAGAACAATCATAGACCAAAGGGGAGATTATTCTAAAAGTGAAAAATCAAAGAACAGAATCTTTGTAAGGAAGTGCAGTTGTATCTCCTAAAGTACACACACACACACACACACACACTTGAAATAGGCTACCTTTCTGCCAGGTACTAGTCCTAAATGTGGTTTTTTAAACGAACGTGTAAGAATTCATATATTTATTTATTCATTCATCAGACAAATGTTTATGAGCCTGCTGTGTGCCAGGTTCTTCTTTTGGGTGCTGGCATATACGATGGTAAACAAGATACACAAGGTCCCTGCTCTTGTGGAGTCTTTGTTCTAGTTAGTGAGACAGGCTAGTATTTGTTTCTCTAAGTAATAGCATATAAAAAATGAGATTAATTTTTCTCCTTTCCTCTCAATATTTACTTCTTTGATACCTAGCAGTTATAAGTGATATACAAAACAGTTAATTTTTAGTATTGATAGCTTGCATTTCAAATGTTACTGATATATTTATTTGGCTAGTTACACATTTTAAATGCAACTTTTAATATTTAACTATGTTCTTCTTTCAGAAAGAGAACTTATTTTGGAAGTTGAGAGGATGAGGCTAGAGCATGGAATAAAACGTCGAGACAAGTCACCTTCTCGTTTAGATACATTTCTGAAAGGTATAGAAGAAGAACGAGATTTTTATAAGAAAGAGCTAGAAAAACTCCAGCATATAATACAGAGAAGATCTTGTTCTGCAAATTATTCTGCACATGAAAAACCTTCAACATTTAAAATGCTAGAAAAGGTAATATCTCTTTATCAGAGTAATTGATTAGGCAAGAGAGTATATTTTTAAACAAACTTCTGGTTTATTACTGTATTAAGTATAACATTATTATTATTAAATATTAAATTAAATGTCATTCATACTTTTTAAAATTTTTAATTTTGATTTTTGTTTTCTTTCATCACCTATACTATAGAAACACTGCATTAATTAGGAAAGCTGCTTAAGAACAAAGCGTGATATACTGATTCCTGGGGGGAAATGGAAAAACAATATGAATAGCTCATTACATATATGGGAAAAGTATAGGCATCTGGGCTTCCAGAAACTGGAACCAGGAACTCATGCTACTGGACATTTCTTCTCTTTCTAACCTTTACTTTCGGTATCAGCTGCATTTTCTCTCAGATAAGAGTGAACTTTGTCCACGTGGCAGGCAACATGGCTTCATGTCATTCCCTGCCTCGGACTAGTCAGAAAGGTGGATCACACTGTACAGACCAGGCATCTTCCACGTAATCACACAACAGGAGAAAGTAGTAAGTCCAAGTGGGTACCAGGCAGATCTTCCTATTAGCACTACAACCACTTTCATAAGGTGGTAGTCTAAAGATGTAAATTAGGTAAAGCTAATATGATTTATGAGAGGTTAAAACCACAGTGTCTATTTTAGATCTTAATTATTTTCGGTGTTTTATGAGTATGTGAATTTTTAAAAAAATATATTTTATTGATATTTTACAGAGGGAGAGGGATAGAGTAGAAACATCAATGAGAGAGAAACATCAATCAGCTGCCTCCTGCATACTTCCTACTGGGGATGTGCCTGCAACCAAGGTACATGCCCTTGACCAGAATCGAACCTTGGACCATTGAGTGCTCTATCCACTGAGCCAAACCTGTTAGGGAAAGTATGTGAATTCTTTAGATTTTTCTTTATTTTTTAAGCTTTGGAACTAGAGGAGTCCTATATACTTGTATTACTCTAAAATTACTACACTCTAGATAAATTAGGAAAAGTTAGGAGTGAAGTTATTCAAACTCAAAACATTTGATTTCAGACTTGGCTGAATTGGCCATGTCTATCATCTTTTTCCTAAAGATCCTGTCAATTGTCAAAAGGTTTTGAGATTAGACTTCAGCTTTTGACCTCATTGGCTAATGACTGAATTTGATTACAGGTGTTAGTGTACACACTATTTTATGTTATCTATTATAAGCAGAATGAATTAGTGGAAAAATACAATTTGAATTAATTTATGTCCTTGAGTCCTTTTTAAATCCCCACTTGTACATAAGGCTTCTGAAAAATAAACTACCTAATTGATCCCCTTCATTGTGTTTGAGAATCTTTCATAAAAACGGTTGATTAACTTAAGTATTTCTTAAATAGAACTAAGTAGATAATGATTTTAAAGCTTTTAACCTAAATATTCCATTCAGTTGCTTGGTATGATTCACAACTGAAAGACAGATGAGAGATTATGGTAAAGTGCTGGTAAAATCAGGTGAGACTTTTTCCCTCTTCAACTTATTTACTGTCTTGAAATATTCTAATGTTACCCGACATGGATAAATAATTTACTTTCCAAAGTTTAGGAGTTGATGTGTTCAGAGCATTTTAGAGTTGCAATAATAAATTGGAGGCATAATAGGGAAGCGGGTATGTACACTATTGAAACGGGTGGAGTGTTAGACAGTTGTGAGTTCTCGGAACTGCGGAGTGCAGCCCCATTCTTGTTCCCAGGAGTCACAACTGTAAGTTTTTAATATCTGCTTTATTGGAAAATTTAGGTACTTTTCTTTGGATTACAGTAAATCAGAGAAAATACTGACATTTTAAAAATCAGTGATCTTTGTCAGCAGTACCCTTGTTGATTCTCTGTTGTCTGTATAGAGGGTGGACACTGTTCCCTTTCACCATGGTTCCAACTGCAAGTTTTGAGCTTAGTGTAGTGGACAGTGCTTCGAAGTTAGAGACCTGATAAAAGTTGTAACTCCACAAAATGGCTTTATGAACTTGGGTAAGTTGCCTGATTTCATCGAACTCCAGTTTTGTCATTTGCAAAGTTAGGACAGTAACTAAAATCTCTTGTGAAGATAATATGAGGTAATTTGCATAAGGGTCTAGCATAAAATATAGTTCTTAATAAATGTTTCATTTCCTCACTATTTGCTGGTTCAAAGCAAATTGGGTATAGGTCGAAAGTCACGTTCGCTTAACAAATAAATACTGAGGCTCTAGAGATAAAAGGTAAAGATATAGTTCTTATCCTCATAAGCTTGAAGACTCTGCACGTGCGTGTGTGTGTGTGTGTGTGTGTGTGTGTGTGTGTGTGTGTGTGTTGAAAACAGTGGAGTGATAAAAGGGAGTTATTAATAATTATATATTAACACAAATATAAATGTGTGTTGATGAAGAAAGAATACAGGAAAGATTCAGAAGGCTGTAAGAGATATAGAGGAGATCTAAATTAGATTGGAGAATTTGGAAGGACTCCTTAGAGAAAGTGACATTTAAGCTGAGATGTAGATAATAATGAAAATACACTGTCAAATCCTTTTTCACTGAGTGCTTTTCTGAAATCTGTGTAGACCACCTCCTTTTTGTGAGATATTTTTACTTAAGTTTAGATTTTCTTTTATAGTTATTTAAACCTGGAGTCCTCAAATACTAATCTGCTTTTGTCCTGTAAGACATTTTATTCTTTAAAGGTATACAGGTAGCTGACCTAATCCATTAGGCTTTGATTTTGCTTATTTAAGTAAGAGGATAACTCATTTCCGAGTTGCAGGTGAAGGGTATCACATAGATATCCACTATTTACCAACTCCACATTGTACATGGTATGTGCACAGTAGATGCTTTTCAGTGTATCAAATGATCAGATTATCCCTACTTAGGGCTTCTGATACAGTCCTAAGTCTATGTTTACTATCTTTGTTTTCCACAATTTCTGTAAAGATAGTGGATCTTTTGAATTGTACTGGAATAATGGGTATAATCTTGTTTTAAATGTTGGAAGTAGTTGCTTAATTACATATACAGCTTTGTAGAAACATTTATATTTATCTGATTGCAAAGATAGACCTAACATTGGTTTACAGTTGGGACAATTGGGAGTTAGTGTGTTGAGACATTATCTTAGATTGTCATAGAAAACACTGAGGGATTTTCTAGCCTATTGTAGTTCCCCGCACTGGGTGAGCAGGCACACAGTGCTTCCTGGTCCTTGACCTGGAGAGGTCCCTCACAATTAGCATGTACCAGAGTCAACTCGAAGGCTTGATAAACCAGTTCCTGGGCCTTGTGTCCTGCGTTTCTGATTAAATAGGTCTGGTTTGGGCCACATAACTTGCATGTCTAACAAGTTCCTAGATGTTGCTGATACTTCTGGTCTGAGAATTACATTAAAACTAACAGCGATCAGGAAGAGGCAGAAGCAGTAGCCTTATGAGGGGAGGATTAGAAATGAGATGTATACCGTTTTAAAAATATTTGTGACTATATTATGGGTTCATAAGCTAGATGAAACAAAAATCCTGCCCTCCAAAGTAATTTTTGTCTGCTTGTCTCTCTTCCCTAATTTATGATGATTTTGGCCATTTTCAATATGACTGCTTTTAATATTTTTTAGGAAAATAAACCAAATTGAAAAAGCTTAGAATAAGTTTGGCTGTTTATACATTAGTTTTTAAGATGTTGAAGTCACATATTTAACTTTTAAAGATGTTTAATCACATTTTGCTTTGCTAAACATATAATGACATTTACATTTGGCCTTATGGCTGGATAATGCTGTTTTCAGATTAGTTTTTTGCCCCCCGTCTTGTTTCAGGAGTCACAGTTGTATAAAATTTTACTTTTTTTTTTTTTTTTGACTCAATAGTTGTCATGACATACAGTTGGAAAAGATGAATTATATTTACTCAAAATAATAGAACTGATTGTCCAGTGTAGTTTGCTTTTCAGATTGGGAAACTTTTTTATCTAAAGGAAATAAGAACCAATGGACACAAAACTATGGGGAGGGAGGGCATGTATGAGAGGGGTTAGGCAGTGGTACATGTACAAAGATAATAATTTAATTAAAAAAATAAAAAAGAAATAAAAGAAATAAGACATGAGCCCCAGGAAAATATAAGTGAGTGTGTGTGTGTGTGTGTGTGTGTGTGTGTGTGTGTGTATGTGTGTAATTCTTAATAAAAAAATAAAACTAAAACTGAGACAGTGTTCTGGTAGTGCAAAAAACCCCCAAAATTTATGACTTACAAAACATTGTATTAAGGTTTTTTTGTTTTTTAGCTCTGCCAGCCTAACCTCTCAAATTAGCTTAAATTTGAAGAGAGGATTTGCTGTTAGGGAGAATGGACATAATTTTGAGGGGAGGGTTCTCGGCTCACTCTGGTGGCTAATATTGTATAATCAAAGCAATGAGTGTTGAATACTGGGTGACAGTTGCTATGAGCATTTCTGTTTCTTTACCAATATTCCCTTTATCTTATAGGATAGAGTGATTGTTATTTCTGTTTGATCTGTAAGTCTCTAGTAGTCCAAAATGGCATTTACTTTTTCTTTTGAATTCCATGTAGAGCTATTTAATCTTTTTGAAAAAATAAAATTAACATTTTAGAATTTTAATATTATATAAGTTGATACTTTTGAAAAATTAAAACAATAGTGTAATACATGGGTGGGCAAAAGTAGGTTTATGGTTGAGGAAGAGAAATGCAGTTTACTTTTGTATTATTCATTTGTTTTTGTATTATTTTCCTTATGGATAACTGTAGATGTACTTTTGCCCACCCCTGTATAATAAATGAAAACCTTCTTTGCACAGTTCTACTTCTCACACCCCTCCCCAGAGATAACTGCTGTTTACACTGTTATATAACCATACATATATGTGTATATTTAATCCTCACCCAGGGATATGTTCATTGACTTTAGAAGTAGGGAGGGGGAAAGGAGGAAAGGAGAGAAAGAAACATCCCGTGTGAAAGAGAAACACGGATTGGTTGTCCTTCCGAAACCCACACCTAGGTATGTGTGCCCTGATGGGATTCGAACCCAAAACCTTTCTGTGTATGGGACGCTCCAACCAAATGAGTCACACTGGCCAGGGACCCCCCTCCACCGCCCCCCTCTCTCTATATATATGTGTGTGTGTGTGTGTGTGTGTGTGTGTGTGTGTGTATATATATATATATTTTTTTTTAACTGTGCATTTTCAAATATAGACTTTAAAAATTTGAATTGTCTTGATTAATAATTGGTCTACCCATTTATGTCTCTTCGGTGGGCTATGCTACTACCCACAGGACAGGGAAATGATTTGGAGTATGTCAGAACGTTTCACATACGATTTACACCTTAGGACATACACATCTTTTTACTTGTGAGGAGTTGATTTGGGGTGCATTGGCAGAATTTGCAGTGAGGTCACTGATATGAGCTTTGGTATAGATTGAATTTAGGAGGACTTGGATTCCATAGTTTTATAGGATTCTAGAAGCCTGGCAAAATTTTATTTAAATGTGCACAACAAAGCTAAATCATCTCCTAACTCTCGCCACTTAATATACAGAGAGGGCATCTTCTCCAGAAGCACATGAGTGCTCCTGATCTGCCAACAGTAGGAGCAAGGAGCGTGAAGCATTGCTGCCATTATACCCAGCTGTGATGGGTCATCTCATTACATACTTTAGTTACCATCACTGGAAATAACTCCAGGAGAATGACAGTTGAAGCATTGGATAAGATCTGATCAAATAGTATCATTAGCAACTGGGTCTCTTCCTGGGAACTTGAAGGCCATGAAACTTGTCCAAATACTGCCAACACTTCTATCTCCTATCATTAAAGATTAAAAATCATGTTCCTTAATTACATTAAAGGAACTTGTGGGAGTTTTTTTGTCTGTTAGCATCTTTCAGTCAATCTTATCACCAGCATCCTTGTGACAACCTTGTGGTGGTAATTATAACAAATGATAACTTCTGTTTTTAAATTATGTTGCAGGGTGATTACAATTCTGAAATTCATCTGGTCACAAGAGAAAGAGATGAACTTCAACATATGCTGGAAAGATTTGAGAAACATATGGAGGATATACAGGCCAATGTTAAATTATTGACAGCAGAAAGAGATAAACTAAGTGTTTTATATCATGAAGTAAGAACTTTTTATAATTAAGTCAAAAGATTACACAGAAATAGTTTAACTATAGTGGAACCAGCAGTGTATGTTCTTTAAATTCTTGTAATATATGGACCTTGTAGTATTTCTTCATAATTAGAATTGTAAATAGTAGTTTCTACTGTGTTCCTGTTCCTAAAGCAGAGATTTCTATTTTTTTCATATTTATTCTTCCTCTTTTCTCGCCTCTCTGTCAGTTCAGTTAGAGATAATCTACTTCTAGACTGACTTTGAGTCAAGTTAATCCTTGAGATGCAGACATGTTGAGATATGTTTGTCAAACAGTGGGTAGCAGACATTATTGGGACTTATTAGATATTAAGGACGTAGGCCCTAATGTGGAAACTTTAGGGAAGAGGGAATCTGTACAGCTTGGCCCAGTTGCAAAGCCTCAGTTGTCAGAGGCTAAAGTGAGTCTGAGCAAAGCATGGTATTTGCTACCAAAGTTTATTCCCATATCAGTCTCCCATGAAATCTTGCTACTTCAAGATATGGGGAGAAGGACATGCAAGTTAAAAGGTCAATTTGTAAAGTTGTTCTCTTTTGGAACTTTCTTAGGATTCTACAGTACAAATTGATCCATTGGCTTAGATTTCAGCTTTCTTAGGTCTGCTTAATTAATTACTAGCTATCCATCTGCTAACTGGTTTCTAAAATTTTGTGCCTGAAACTTCCCTCCATCTCCTTGTCTTCTTATTATTTCTTTAATCCTTTCACTCTCATATTCTGGGGATTTGGAAAGAGAGCAAAGGTAGCATGTGTTTAGCTTGCCCTCCCCCTCCCCCTCCCCCCTCCCCCCTCCCCCCCTTTCTTTTTAACTGGGAGCATATTCAGATTGCTTTTTATTTATATCTTTTAATTCTTTAAGGCTCAGGAAGAATTATCTTCACTAAGACAAGAATCCAGCCAAAGCATAGTCTCCCATAATGTTAGTCTGATGGAAAAGGAAAAAGAAGTTGCAATATCTGATTTAAGAAGGGTTATAGCAGAAAAGGAAGCTTTAAAGGACAAGTTAAAAGTAAGTAATATGATTGACTTATTTTTGAAAGGCAATTTATTAAGAAAAAGGGAGGTCTTTCTATATGTTTTTCTGTGATGTGACTATTATGTACAACTAGATCAGGAAATGTACAACTAGAATGTACAACTAAATCCAAACAATGTTTTTGTATGGCCTTAGAACAAAGAATGGTGTTTACATTTTTAAGTCATTGGAAAGTTATCAAAAGAAGAAAATTTATGACAACTGAAATTTTTGAAATTCAAATTTTATTATTGGTAATGTTAGAATACGGTGCTCATTCATTTGCATGTTCTATGTGGCCTTTTTTTTTTTTTCCTGCAATGGCAGCATTTAGTAATTACAACAGAAACTATGTTTCTGGCTTATAAGGCTGAAAATACTTATCTGGTTCTTTATAGAAGACTAGAGACCCAGTGCACGAAATTCATGCATGGGTAGGGTCCCTAGGCTTGGCCATGGGCCAATCAGGTTCCCTGCCTCCCGCCGCTTCCTTTCCACCTCTGGTGCACTGGCCTCCCTGCTTCCTTCTTCCCTTATTCCCTCAGTGCCTTGCCACTGCCTCTGGTCACCTGCCACTGCCTCTGTGCCACCCCCTGGTGGTCAGTGCACATCATAGCAAGTGATTGAACTCCCTCAAAAGAAACGATGTATCCATTATCAGCTGCTCTTCCATTTCCCCCATCCTCCTCAGTCAGAGGCAACCACTAATCTACTTTCTGTCTCAAATAGATTTGCCTATTCTGGGCATTTCATATAAATCGAATCATTTAGTATGCAGTATTTATGTCTGGCTTCTCCCATTTAGCATAATGTTTTCAAGATTCATTCATGATGTAGTATGTATCTCAATACTTTATTCTTTTTTATTCCATCAAAAGGTGGACAACATTTTATTTTATTGTTTGCTTGGTTCTTTGGCTATAAAAAAATAATGGTGCCATGAATATTCCTGTACAACCTGTTGTGTGGATGTATGTTTTCACTTTTCTTGGGTATATACCTAGGTTCATTTGATGATTACATTTAACCATATTAACAATTACAAGGCTATTTTCCAAAGCAGCTGTACCATTTATATTCCCACTAGCAGTGTATACACATCCTCACCAACACTGTTACTGTCTGTCTTTTTTTTTATTATTGTTATGCTGCAGATTAGTATTATCTAGTGTGGTTTTTATTTTGCATTTTCCTGATGGCTAATGATACTGATCATCTTTTCATGTGCTTACTTGGCCATTTGTATATCTTTTTTTGGAGAAATGTCAATTTAGATCATCCTTTGTACTTTTTTAGATTGGGTTATTTGTCTCATTATTATTAAGTTATAAGAGTACTTTACATATTATCAATAAAACCCTCTTTATCAGATATGATTTGCAAATACTTTCACCCATTCTGTGAGTTGTCTTTTAATTTTCTTAATGGTATTCATTAAAGCACAAAGAAATTTTAATTTTGAGGAAGTCCAATTTATCTATTTTGTTGTTCATGTTTTTTGATGTCATATCTAGGGCAGTCTTATAATTCCTTATATAATTCGTTAATAAATATGAAGCAAGTACTCAGCATATAATAAGAACTCAGTATTAACTGTTAATGTTACTATTAAGGTTTATTTCCAAAAAAATTTTATTGAATTAATGTTTAGAAATTAGCAGCTAAAATTAGGGAATAACATTTAAGCATTATTAGGGTAGTTTCTATATCAGAAAATTGCAGTTAAAGTTTTAACCTGAGAGAATCCAAGATGGCGGCATAGGTAACACTCAACTGCAGCCTCACACAACAATTTCAATAAAATACAACTAAAATACAAAATAGACATTACCCAGAACTACAGGAAAGTCGACTGACTGGAAATTCTACAACGAGAAGGAAAGAGAAAACCAGAAGGAAAATCAGAGGAGCTGTAAAAGCCTAAGGTACAGAGACACGCGGCGCATGGAGAGGATGGAGCCGGAGAGGAGGGGGAGGCTGAGTGCCTGGCTAGCGTTCCCTAGCGGAAAGGAGATAAAAGCTTCAGACTGTGCTGAACCCTACTTCTGACAGCACTGAACCCCAGTTCTAGGCCAAACCCTGGGGATCCAGGCTCAAACAGAGGGAGCCTGGGCTGTTAGGCGGAATCTCAGGGGAGTGGCGAAAGGCAGAGCCCCCGGAGGCGTGCACATTATGCGCAGAGCCCGGACCGTTGACTCTGCTGCTAGATTGCCCTAGCGGGAAGGAGACAAAAGCTCTGGACTGTGCTGAGCCCCAGTTCTGACTGCACTGAACCCCAGTTCTAGGCCAGACCCTGGAGACCCAGGCTCATACAGAGAGAGCCTGGGCTGTAAGGCGGAAACCCAGGGGAGCGGCAAAAGGAAGTCCTGGAGGTGCGCACGTTGCGCACAGAGAACGAGCTGTTGAAGCCACTGGATTGCCCTAGTGGGAAGGAAACAAAAGCTCCAGACTGCTCTGAACCCCACTTCCTACCATACTTCCAACTGAACTGAACCCCAGTTCCGGGCTCATTGGGGGAGAGCCTAGACTGTTTGGTAGCAGGCTAAACTTGAGGGCACCTTTCTCTCAGAGGTGCTTGCAACAAGTACTGAAGGACCCTGAGGAATACTGAGACTCAGGAGCCTCATAGGGCGTGGCTGACAGAAGCCAAGACTGTAGGCTCCACCCTGAAACTCTGCCCCATCCAAGCTGAACACAGAGACTTTTAAGGCTACCAGCTCAGGAAAGCTGCGAAAATGCCCAGACAAGGAAACAGATCACAAATGAAAGAAATGGAGAATAAAAAGCGACTGGATATAGAGTTCAAAACCACGCTTATAAGGTTTCTCAAGAATTTTCTAGAAAAGGCCTATAAGACCTATGAGGATATGAAAAGAGATCAACAAGAAATAATAAGGGACCAACAAGAAATAAAGAATACATTGTCTGAAATAAAAAGTATTATACAGAGTCCTAAAAACAAAATGGAAGATCGCAAGAATCAAGTCAAAGATTTGGAATATAAAGAGGCAGAAGACACTTCTCCGCAGAAGCAAGAAGACAAGAGAATCCAGAAAATTGAAGATAATGTAAGAAACTTCTGGGACAACTTCAAGCGAACCAACATCAGAACTATGGGGGTCCCAGAAGAGGAGAGCGAGCAAGATACCGAAACGTACTGAAAGAAATGGTGACAGAAAATTTCCCCCATCTGGTGAAAGAATTAGACCTACAAGTCCAGGAAGTGCACAGAACTCCAAACAAAAGGAATCCCAAGAGGACCACACCAAGACACATCACAATTAAAATTCCAAGAGCAAAAGACAAAGAGAGAATATTAAAAGCAGGAAGAGCATAGCAGGTAGTTACCTATAAAGGAGCACCCATACAATTGTCAGCTGATTTCTCAACAGAAACCATGCAGGCCGGACGGGAATATTCAAGGTGATGAATAGCAAGAAATATTCAAGGTGATGAATAGCAAGAACCTACAGCCAAAAAATAATCTACCCAGCAAAGCTATCACTCAGAATCGAAGGCCAGATAAAGAGCTTCACTAATAAAAAAAAAAAGCTAAAGGAGTTCTTCACCACCAAACCAGAATTATATAAATTGCTGAAGGGGGTTCTTTCGGAAGAGAAAGAAAATAAAGATAAAAATTATGAACAACAAATACATAACTATCAACAAGTGAATCTAAAAACCAAGGGAATTAGAAAACCTGATGAACAATATTAATTGTTGAATATAATAGAATCAGAGGTATGGAAGGGGTGTGGACTGATGATTCTCAGGGAAAAGAGGAGTGAGAGGTGTGGGAAGAGACTGAACATAAACTGCACCTATGGATGAGGACAATGAGGGGTGGGGAATGGGCAGAGTGTGGGGTGGGAACCTGGTGGAGGGGGAAAAAATGAGGAACTTTTGTAATAATATGAACAATAAAGGTTTATTTTTAAAAAAAAGTTTTAACCTGAAAGAATATTTTCAATTTGCATCTTTTAGAATACTACCTTCCCCAAGTAATCCTATATAATAAAAGCCTAATATGCTAAGTGTCCTGTTGTCTGTTCGGTCATTCAACCAATCCTACCTAATAAGAGTAATATGCAAATTAACCTTCACCCCACTACACCCACAAGCCATGCCCACCAGCCAATCAGAACGAGTATGCAAATAAATCCAAACAAGATGGCTACGGCCACAGAGAGCAGGAAGGAGGCTTGGGTTTCCCAGGCAACAGAAGAAGCCAAGCTTTCCGCCTGCTCTTGTCAGCCTAGGCCTCCACTCAAGGCTACAAAATTTCAATTATAGAAGGTAAACAAATCCAAACAGAAATGGCAGCAGCCACGGAACTGGAAGAGCAGGCTAGGGTTGCACCCCTGGCAATGGTGGAAGCAAAGCTTTCTGCACACCCAGGCCAGCCCAGGCCTCTGCTTCAGGCTACAAAGTTTCAATTATAGAAGGTACATAAGACCCAATAGAAATGCCTGCGGGCCATGGAGTGAGCAGGAGTTTTAGCTCTGCTCCAGGCTACAAAGTTTCAATTGTAGAAGGTAAATAAATTCCAGATACTAGGGCCTCAGCTTGGGTCGCCAGGTCATTTGCAGAGGCTGGCCTGCAAATGACCACAGGCCCCCTCACCCCCGCAGGGGTGAGTACACACTTCAGGGCAAACCAGCTGGCCCCCACCCGCTCACCAGTCCTCTATCCTATCTAATAAAAGAGTAATATGCAGATTGGCCATCACTCCAACACAATGTGGCTGCCCCCATGTGGTCAAAGATTCTGCCCCTATGTAGAAACAAGATGGCCACCACAAGATGGCCTGCAGGGGAGGGCAGTTGGGAGGCAACAGGCCTCTAAGGGAGGGTAGTTGAGAGGGACCGACCAGGCCTGCAAGGGAGGGCAGTTGGAGGCAATCGACTCTGTAGGGGGGGCAGTTAGGGTTGGTCAGGCTGGCAGAAGTGGGAAGTTGGAGCCAAACAGGTTGGCAGGGGAGTGGTTAGGGGGTGATCGGGCTGGCAGGCAGAAGCGGTTAGGGGCAATCAGGAAGGCAGGCAGGCGAGCAGTTGGAAGCCAGCAGTCCTGGATTGTGAGAGGGATGTCTGACTGCCCAGAGGGATCAGGCCTAAACGGGCAGTCAGACATCCTATGAGGGGTCCCAGATTGAAGTAGGTGCAGGCTGTGCTGAGGAACACCCCTCCCCGCCCCTGTGCACAAATTTCATGCACTGGACCTCTAGTCAAAGCATAATATGCTAAGGCTGCTCAACCAGTCACTACGATGTGCTCTGACTATGAGGGGGCAGATGCTTCGACCAATAGGTTAGTTTGCTGCTGGGGTCTGGTCGATGGGGACTGAGCAAGATGGGCTGGACACGCCCTAGAGCCCTCCTGCAGTCCCTCCCCAGCCCCGATTGTTCACTGGTGGGGTCGCTAGGCGTGGCCTGCACCCTCTCACAATCCAGGACCCCTCAAGGGATGTCAGCTGGTTTTGGCTCGATCCCACAGGCCAGGTCGAGGGTCCCCACTGGTGCACAAATTTGTGCGCCAGGCCTCTAGTTTCTTATAAGTATTAAAATGACCAAATGGGAAACTTATATGCAACATGAAAGTTTTTAGTAAAAGCTACTGATTTATACTTTTCCAGATTTTTTGAAGTGATCAAGGAATACAAAAATAGGATTTAAAAACTGCAATATGGCCCTAGTCGGTTTGGCTCAGGTGGGTAGTGTCGAACTGCAGACTGAAGGGTCCCAGATTCAATTCCAGCCAAGGGCACATGCCCGAGTTGCATACTTGATCCCCAGTAAGGGGCATGCAGGAGGCAGCAGGGGAGGGCAGTTGTGGGCAATCAGGCAAGCAGGGGAGGGCAGTTGGGAGGCAACAGTCCTACAAGGGAGGGCAGTTGAGAGGGACCAGATCTGCAAGGAAGGGCAGTTGGAGGCAATCAAGGGCAGTTGGAGGCAATCTGTAGGAGAGGGCAGTTAGGCTTGGCCAGGCCGGCAGAAGAGGGAAGTTAAGGACAAACAGTCTGTCAGGGGAGCAGTTATACATCAATCAGGCTGGCATGGGAGTGGTTAAGGATGATCAGGCTGGCAGGCAGGCAGAAGCGGTTAGGAGCAATCAGGAAGGCAGGCAGGCGAGCATTTGGAGTGAGCAGTCCTGGGTTGTGAGAGGGATGTCTGACTCCGTGGGATCGGGTCTAAACAGACAGTTTAACATCCCTCAAGGGGTCCCAGATTGGAGAGGGTGCAGGCTGGGTTGAAGGACACCCCACACCCTGTGCACGAATTTAGTGCACCGGGCCTCTAGTAGTGTCTATAACATCAAGTCTTCATGCCTTGTATTCACTACTGTAATTTTAATATCTTACTCAGTGCTTATATATAGTATGTACTCAATAGTGGTTGAACGATTTAATAAATTAAAAAATACAAACAGCACAGTGACTTTTTTTTAATCCTCACCCATGGATATTTTTTCCATTGCTTTTTAGAGACAGTGGGAGGGAGAGAAGAAGAGAAGGATAGGGAATAGTAGAAAGAGAAAAACATAGATGTTGAAGAGACACATTGATTGGTAGCCTCCCGTAGGCATCTGAGCAATGCTAGGGACCAAACCTGCAATCCAAGTATATGCCCTTGACCAGGAATCGAACTCTCGAACCTTTGGTTCTAGGACTGACACTCCCACCACTGAGCAACCCCAGCCAGGGCGACAGTGACTTTTTCAGCCAAATATATAATCAAACATCAAATGTCTATTTTTAATGAATAGTGTGAATAGAAGTATGAATCACACTAGAAAAATTCTCAGAAAACACCAACTTAGATTACTTGTCCTAGACTTAGCATCAGCAAGAATTGGATAAGGTAATATAATCCCCAAAATATCACTTGTTTTACTGTTGACCAGCCCATTCTGGAAACTCTAGTGGCTTGCATATTCTTGTAGAATTCTGTTTCCTGTCTCTCTCTGATTTCATTTTTATTTTCCTTACACTCTGTTCTCAGGACATAGTCTTGAATATACTTAACCTGCTGTTTCTTTTCCTGTTATAGTTATGCTAATGAATCAATCTATATAAATTTTTAGAAATGCATTTATGCCAATCTGTGTCTTCTGTTACAATCACACATGAAGGTAGAGTGTTACTGTTTTTATCAACCAAAAGCATCGTGTGTTTTTTCATGTCTAAAACATTTTATTTAAAAAAAAAAAAAAGTAGAATAGTACTGGATACTTGCATTGCTTACTTCTGTAATTTTGTTATATTATCTAATGTGCATAAACATCTTTTATAAAATTCTCTTTCAGAGTTTTGAGGAAATGAGTCTTTTTGGGAAATCAGAATTTGAGAAAACTATTGAACATTTAACATATGTTAATCACCAGGTAATATATCAAATTGGATTTGGGGTATATTGTGTTGTGTGAATTACTATGTTAATTATAGTTTTAATATACTGTATATTTTTGATATTACAAAGTAGTATGATGCTAGAGCAGCGGTATAAAAATGATAGACTCTGTACTCCAAAGACTGATTACTTGGCTCCAAATCCCTGTCTATTACCTGTAAGCAGTATTTAAACTTTCCATTCCTCAATTTCTTATTTGTAAAATAGGAATAGTGCTAGCATTTAATTTGTTTTCAAATGAGTGATATGAACAGGAGCTATTCCAGGCCTGCATGAGTCCTGAGTATTGTTACTTCTAATTCTTTGATGGTTCTTCCCCTGACCTTGAGTAGCATTCTCTGTACTGAGCTCTGCTCAGCTGAAGACTCAATCAAGGGCTCTCATTCTATGCAGCTTTCCTCCAGAATCTGCCCTCAAACTCTTAATTGTCTTGTCCTCCCTTGACTCTCAGTCTTGTCTTTTGAACTTAGGGTAACCACTAGACTCCACCTGAGTTCCTTTCCCTGTGCCACAGTCTGGAAATTTTCAGGCAACAATCAGAGGGCTCATCTCATTTGTTTCTTATCTCTCGGTCACTGTCCATTGTTGCCTGATGCTCAGTGTCTTGAAAACCATTGTTTTATATATTTTGTCTTTATTTATTTATTTATTTATTTATTTATTTATTTATTTATTTATTTTTATTTATTTTTATTCAGATAGAAGGGTTCCTGTGACTCCAGCTTGTGTAGAAACTGAAAGTCAGAGTTAATGAGCTGGAAAACATAAGTACTAGAAGTCTCTAGAAAGAGATTAAAAGAAAATATAAAACAAGTCTTAAGAGAATGAAGAAGGTATAATATATGTTTAATCAGAATATACATTCTGCCCTAATTGGTTTGGCTCAGTGGATAGAGCATCGGCCTGTGGACTTAAAGGTCCTGGGGTTGATTCCAGTCAAGGGCATATACCTTGGTTGCGGGCACATCCCTTGTGGGAGGTGTGCAGGATGCAGCTGATCGATGTTTCTCTCTCATCGATTTTTCTAACTCTTTATCCCTCTCCCTTTCTCTCTGTAAAAAATCAATAAATTTTTTAAATGTACATTCTCCCCAAATTGATCTTTAAAGTAATTATTTCTGTGTGAAATCTTAATCTAATGCTGACAATAGATTTAAAAATTTGCATGAAAATAAAAAGCCAAGTATCACAAAGAATTTTGAAGAACACTATGTAGAAATTGTTCTGTCAGATATGAAGGCTTCAGAGCCAGTAGATTTCCTCTACTTTATCTTCTTACCCCTTCTATTGATTATACACACACACACACACACACACACACTCTTACTTTCTTTATTTCCAAGAGAATTTTTCAGAAAGAGGAGGAAGATATCTGGTGTGAGAGTCCCAGTATATAGACTTTCACCAATCTCCTTGTTTATTCTCCTGACCCCAACCTAATGCTTGGTGCTTTAATGAGCTGAGCTTCTTCTGGAAACATCATTAGGCTGCATATCGGTATTCCTGTTGTGGTTCCTTTAGATCAGTGGTGCTCTTAAGAGGCAAACTATCTGGGAATTTTGAGTTGTCATAATTAGGGGAGAAGTTGCTTCTTTTATCTAGTAGGTTTTGGCCAGGGAGGCTATTAAGTATCCTACAATACAGAGGACATCCTTCCAATCCCTCATAACCGTGGTCGGCAAACTGCGGCTCGCAAGCCACATGCGGCTCTTTGGCCCCTTGAGTTTTAGCAAAGGCCAGCTTAGAAGTACCCTAATTAAGTTAATAACAATGTACCTACCTATATAGTTTAAGTTTAAAAAAATTGGCTCTCAAAAGAAATTTTAATCGTTGTACTGTTGATATTTGGTTCTGTTGACTAATGAGTTTGCCGACCACTGCCCCACAACAAAGAATTATCTAGCCCCAAAGTCAGTAATTTTTAAGTTCAGAAACTGCTTTAGATTGTATCTTTCATTTTGAGTCATTATTCAATCTACTTTTGTCTTCCACAAGTTGTTGAAGTCACTGTTCACTCTTGTTCTCTTTCTTGTTCTTTATGTCCTTACTAGACGCCCGGTACATGAAAATTCGTGCACTCGGGAAGGTACCTCAGCCAGGAGTGGGCCTAAGCTGGCAGTCAGCCATCCCTTTGGCAGCCCAGGAGCTTTCGAGGGATATCCACCTGCCAGCTTAGGCCGCTCCCCAGGGAAGCAGGCCAAAGCCACAGTGAGACATCCTTAGCGCTGCTGAGGAGGCCTGAGAGGCTCCCTCCACCAGCTTTGAGCCCAGCCTTCAGCCTGGCTTGTGGCTGAGTGGAGCTCCTCTGGAAGCACACTGACTACCAGGTGGCAGCTCCTGCATTGAGCGTCTGCCCCCTGGTGGACAGTGTGCACCACAGCAACCCGTTGTTCCTGATAGTTCCACCATTAGGGTCAATTTGCATATTGCCCTATTATTATATAGGATGAGTATATAGTATAGCTTTCTTTATTCCTTTATTGCCATTTTAACACTGTTCCCAGAAGGAGGGGGGGCGAAATGTGTGTGGTTAGTTTACAGTTTTAACTGGAAGACATTTACTAATATTTCTTTGTTTTGAAATTTATATATACATTATTCTATTTTGTATTTATTTTTGTACAGTATATAAAATAAAATAGAAATCTACCTATTTTTTCCTCCAGTGAGTGGCTGTTCCAACTCTATTTTTAAAGTTTTTATCATTTAACCCCCTTCCCTAATTTATATCTGTGTACATGTATTTCCTCTTCAATTTCTATGTGAAATCTACACTGTTTTAATTACAGTATTCTTCTAATTTATTTTGACATCTCATAAGGCAAGTCTACTCGCATTCTTCCCTAACCACAATTTTTTGTTTTGTTTTTTTGTGTTTTTTTTGTGTGTGTGTGTGTGTGTGTTTGTTTGTTTGTTTTTACCGTCTGAACTGATTTATCTGTTCCTCATAGAAAATCTTACTGTTAAATGAACTCACACTTGGAGGTAGAAGCTCTCAGAGAAGACAACCTATATCTCGTAACAATCTGTTCTGGCATTTTTCTTTGACCTCCTTCATTCTCTTAGCCTAAAGTGTAGCATATTCTGTGGTATCTTCCTTATTTTTCTTAGTACAGTATGCTATTTCTTCAGAGCAATTTGCCAACTTGTTGCAATACACGTGGAATTAAAGGACATTGAATCTTGGTTACTGTGGTCCTAGGTTTTGTACCTTCTTTGTTTAGGGATTTTCTCACAACGTATTTATGGATATCTTCTTTAGAGAGATTGAAAAGTTTGTGGATTCTTCTGGCTCTTTTGGAGCCCAGGCAACAAGACACAGTAGTATCAGTGACACCAGGAATGTCTGCCCCCCACACCCCCTCTTCCTTTTTTTTTTTTCCCATTGATTTTTAGGAAGAGTGGGAGAAAGAGGGAAAAACAGAAACACCAGTGTGAGAGAAACACATTGATTGGTTGCCTCCTGCACGAACCCCAACCTGGGTCTGGGCTGGGGAGGAGCTTGCAACCAAGGTACATGCCCTTGACCAGAATCGAACCCAGGACCCCTAGGTTCACAAGCTGACGCTTTATCCATTGAGACAAACTGGCTAGGGCATCTCCCCTTTTTTTTTAACAATGACCAAGTTGAGAATACTGAGATTGGCATCCACAGTGCAACCCAAACAGAATTGCACTTTCTTCAGTCCTCCTCGGTCTACAGCAGGAATACCCCTTAGTAGCAGATGTACTTGGCATGGATCAAGACACACTGATTCGTGGGCAAACCTTGTTTGTCATTGCCACCACAGATTGGAACCACATAACCCTTCCATCTTCACCCAGAGCATCAGCAGCAACTTCTATGGCCATGCGCTTCTCATAAAAGGCTCGAAGTTTGTGTTCATCATCATCTTCAATGAGTTTCTGGCAGCCAGTGGCTGGGAAAGAGATGTTCAGCTTCATTCTGAAGTAGCCGACTGCCTTCAAGGCGCCATGAGAAAGAGCTGTTTTTTCTTAAATTTCTTTTTTCCTAAGTGAATTTTAGAATGAAATTTAAGCCATACCCCCTTATTTTAAAACACAGTTCTGTTAGGATTCTTGTTAAAATTTCATTGCATTTTTAGTTATTTCAGGAAATTGTATTATATTTTCAGTATTTTGTTCCCATTCAGAAACATGGTATGTCTTTACATTAAATCAGCTTGTGTTTTATGCTCTTCAGGAAATTTTTTTCAGTTTTTTCATATGTTTTGCCCATTTGCATTTGGGTTACAGTATTTTCTGATACAATTTCTTTTTTCAAATCAGGCCTATCTATGTACTGATTTTGTTTTTTTTTTTTTAGAAATTTCTTAAAATTTTTGCTTTGCTAATTTCCCTTTCTGTTTTTATTGTTATGGATATTTTATTTTGTTCTTTTCTTGCTTTTTTTTTGGTATACATTTTTTCACTTCAGTGATGCTGAAAAGGAGAGATAAATCTATATGCCCATCACATATAGAATCTAAAGTGTAGACATGATTTTTAAAGGACTTTTAAATAAATCTATTTTTCCCTTAGTTTTTTTCTAGAAGTGTTATTAAAATATGCTTAATAAAAATAAAAGTAAGACATGTACATATTAACTTTTAAAATTTAAATTATAGCTTGAAAATGAAAACTGTGAATTAAAGTCTAAAATTTTATTAATGAAAGAATCAATGGAATCACTAGAGAACAAGGCAAAATTCCAAGCTCAAAAACTTAGCCATGTGGCTGGTGACTCAACTTTTCATAAAACAGAGATGAACTCACTTAGGTAAGTTTATTGAATGCTTTGTTATTTCAGCTCTGGGAACAAGTTGGTGGCTGTGTGGTTTGTTGTGGTGGCATTTTTGGAGTAGGCCTTTGAGCAATAGTACCCAAAGATGGCCTTGCAGCAGAATCACCTGCAGAACTTTTAAAAAGTCTGGAGGTTCTTAATCACCAAGAAAATCTGAATAGATTTTGAGTATCTGTATTTTTAAAGACTTTTTTAGATTGATATGATTGCAGGCAATTTTTTGTACCTACAGTATGTTTCAAAAATTCCCCTAGCAAATACTTGAGAACATTTGTACTCTATAGCATAGGATTGCTGAAAATTACGTAATTTTTTGCTACCTATGTCACTGTCTTCATCTATTCTCTTTTAAAGAAATGTAAAATCAGAGTACTTATATACAATTTAAAATGGTGGTATGTCTGAAAAATGTCAGTATGAAAAAAAATAGGTTGAATCTATAGGTTGGATTCAGGTTAGGAAGATGGTATGATAACCACGTGTGTTTGGATTTTATCTTATAAACAGAGAACAAAAAGAAATTTTTAACCCAGAGGGTGACATAAGTATCATGCCTTTAAAAATAACGAATTCTGGCAAAAATAGAAAAGGTGGGTTTGGAGTCTTAAGAAACTAATGGCTAATAAGAGACCATGTGTCTGGACTGAAATAGTGGCAGTGAACTTAGAACAGGCCAGGTGTAGGGAACATTTCTTACATAAAATCAAAAGGATTGGATGACTTGTATGGGAATGAGAAAAAGATTCAGTAATGCAGAATGTTTACCTTAGAATATTGGGTTGGTTAGGCATTGGTCCATTTAAAATGCCGATGGTTGAAGGAAATGAACAGTCAACAAGATAGGTTCTCTCTAGACTGGGATTTGCAATAAGTAAACGATACCAAATCAGAAGAAGGGCATCACTCTGAGTATCAGAGGAAATAATTTCTCTAAATATATTTGCAATAAGAAGCAGGAAAGGATTTTCAAACATTAACATAACATGGCCTATATGAAAGTAAATCAGTCATGAAGAAGTGACAACTTGAGATCCAATAGGATTGTAGTAATGACGATTAGAAAATAAGATTGATTAAAAACTGCAGTTGTTAGTGAACAGAATGAAATACCAAAAACTGAGTTGGTGGAATAAAAAACACTCAAGAAATTCACATAGAATTCAGAACTCAGAAGGATAAAAAAACATGGATCTACCGTGTTTCCCTGAAAATAAGACCGACTTACAGGTTTCCTTCTGAGTGATATATAAGGCATCCCCCGAAAATAAGGCTCCCCCCCCCCCCCCCCCAGGCTAAACATGAGAGATTTGGTCCACTGATTCTGAAAGAAATGGAGTCACAAGAAATTCACCAGGAAATTCAGGAATTGGATTGTCATGATGATGTTCCAGAAGATGATGACATGATTGTCATTGAATAAATGAGTAAATTCTTGATACTGTAGAATTCACAATTTGTCTGGTTTGTGTTGACAACCACCGTACTACCGTACCGTATACAGGTAATAAATTTTCTTTATTTTCATTTAACAATAAATGTGTACCGTATTCTTCTTCATGGAAAAATAAGACTTCCCTGAAAATAAGACCTAGTGCATCTTTGGGAGCAAAAAGTAATATAAGACACTGTCTTATTTTCAGGGAAACAGGGTAATATACAAACACAGAATTGGAAAAATTTATAGTGAAATAAACAGCAGAATTTTGAAAATCAAAGGGATAATTAGGATAAGGCCTGAGATTATATTCTCCTAAAGAATTCCTGATTATCAAACAAAACTTAATGAAATATTATAAGACCAAGAGCTGGATGTGTCCATTTAATTAAAGAAATCATAGGGCATCTTAAGTTTTTGTTTTTTTGCTGTTTTGACTACAAATCTTGATAAGTTAGACATTAGATAAAGAACTAAAATAGAAGCTGCTTTTTTCCTCTCCCTCTCCCCCCTTTTTGCAAGCACTGCATACATCCTATGAAGGAGAGCTACTTGAATAGACCACCCCCCACTTCTTCTGGTTCATGTCTATATTCAACTCCAAAGTACAAGTACCATGGAACATGTACTAACTACTAGGCTACCCTTTTCCCTTTTTGTCCAGCAGCTGATGGATCTGGCATTTACTCCATTTTGCTTTGTGCTTCAGACTATAGGCACAATCTCCTTTTCTTTCCTCACACGAGGCCCTTCACAGTCTTAGGCCCTTAAGCAGAGCTTTCAGTGCCTTCTCTTGCTTACCCTAGCCTACAGCTCCTTTGGTGTTTTCTTTTTACACTAATCCCTTTTTCTCTTGTGAGCTCAATCTGCTACTTCCCCTCCTAGGCGGATTCCATAACTTGGTTTTGCTCTAATAGAAAAATCAGACTTACCTTGTTTCTGAGGAAAGTATTTCAGTCCCATTCTCCATGTCAGCAAACATTGATATAGAACCATGAGTTAAGCCGCCAGACCCAAATCCAAAGCTGAACTCAATACAAACCATGATACCAAGCACTCTACGGAAGCAAAGCCACACTAGTCAAACCTCGTGCCACTTTTAAAATATATTTTTATTGATTTTTTACAGAGAGGAAGGGAGGGAGAGAGAGAGCTAGAAACGTCGATGAGAGAGAAACATCGACCAGCTGCCTCTTGCATACCCCCGACCAGGGATGTACCTGCAACCAACGTATATGCCCCTGACCGGAATTGAACCTGGGACCTTTCAGTCTGCAGTCTGGCGCTCTACCACTGAGCCAAACCGGTTTCGGCACCTCATGCCACTTTTAATGTGGTTAATAGAGGTCTTGCTACCCCTTTAATCACATCAAGTTCTCTTGACATGAAGACATTTAAGAAGCTGATGCTCAAATTGGGGAATCACAGGTTCCTTTTCATCCATTTGGTAGACCCATCTTTTTTTTTCAGTCCTGAGTCAGGCATTTCTCACCAAGTTTCAGTGCCACCAGTTTGTTTTCACCAGACTATATCAAGCAGAGTATTTAAATAGAGAATCTTTGGTTTGATTTCTTGGTACAGCACAGGAGAACATAATACAAAACCCCATTTTATAACCAAATGACTCTTTTCTCCCTTGAATTTAGCAGGTGCTGGCAAGCTATGGCCTGCTACCAATTTTTGTAAAACCCAAGCACCATGAATGCTTTTTACATGTTTACATGATTGGAAAAAATCTCAATAGATTAATATTTTGTGACATAAAAATTATATGAAGTTCAAATTTCAGTTCCCATAATTGAACCACAACCACACTCCTTCATTTATATATCATCTATTGCTGTTTTTGCGCTACAAAGGTAGGACTGAGTACATGCAACAGAGACTACATGGCCCACATTGTTTAAAATACTCATTCTGTCCTTTTACAGAAAAAGTTTACTGACCCCAGTTCCAGAGGATGGCTAGCATCCCCTGAGGGGCTATGACCATCTTTCCTGAGTAGAGAAAAATTGCTTTATAGCAATGTTAAGTGGTGGGTTATAACTATAGACCAGTAGTCGGCAAATTGTGGCTTGCAAGCCACATGCGGCTCTTTGGCCCTTGAGTTTTCAGCAAAGGCCAGCTTAGGAGTACTCTAATTAAGTTAATGTACCTGCCTATATAGTTTAAGTTTAAAAAATTTGGTTCTCAAAAGAAATTTCAATCATTGTACTGTTGATATTTGGCTCTGTTGACTAATGAGTTTGCTGACCAATGCCATAGACTGTTAGAGATATCGAAAATAAAACGGGTTGGATGTGGAGAGAGCAGAGTGCCTGAAGAATGGCTCCTCTTTGATTAACACATCCAATAGCAACTTGGGCTTACTCTTCACGGGTGGCAGGATACTATGACCTTCCTGTGACATTATGCCCTATACATGAAAAAAATAAAATTTAATAAAACAGGGAAACCATATCAGTTTCTGTTTCCTCTAATAGACCATTACAATTCCAGCCTACCCCTCTTAGATGGAGCTTCAGCTCCATATTAGAACTTGAACACTTTTTGTGAATAAAGTGCCCTTTAAGATGCTGTTCATTATGAAGGGAAGTAATCACTTGGCCCTCTAAAATGAAAGCATGAATACCTCCATGTAATCTTATATAATAAAAGGCTAATATGCATGTCGACTGAACAGCAGAATGACCGGTCGCTATGATGTGCACTGACCATCAGAGGGAAGACGCTCAACGCAGCAGCTGCCCTCTGATGGTCAGTGCACTTCCACAGGGGGAATGCCACTCAGCTGGAAGCCGGGCTCATGGCTGGTGAGTGCAGTGGCAGTGGTGGGAGCCTCTCCTGCCTCCACAGCAGTCAGACATCCCCCGAGGGCTCCCGGACTGGGAGAGAGTGCAGGCCAGGCTGAGTGGTCCCACTCCCCAAGTGTATGAATTTCATGCACCGAGCCTCTAGTGTAAACCTATATCATAAAAGCCTAATAAGAAATTGACTAAATGCGGATCACTATGACGTGCACTGACCACCAGTGGGCAGACATTTAATGCAGGAGTTCCCCTAGCCCATAGGCTCTGACCTAGAGGGTGGCAGGGAGTGGGGCTTGGGAGCAGGCAGCACCAGGCCCTAGTATAATATAACTGAGGAAATTGAAACTCGGAGAGATGATCCTTCACAGCTACATAAGTATTGTAGTAGAGAGCTAGAACTTTGATTCTAAGTGAAGTTTTATTGATTTACTTTCTGGTGGGAAGTCATCACTTCTCTTTGCTGTGTTTATGGCACTTTCAAAGCTAAGAAATTGTTTGTTTTACTAATAACTAGTTCTCAAGATTTCCTTTCCAGACACCATGATGAACAAATAGTATGATAGTTATTCAGCTATTCTTCACAATGAATTTTATAATGTACGTCAGTTCTTTCATTAAGAAGACCTTTTAAATTTTTTTTTTTTTTAATCCTCCTGAGGATATTTTTTTTCATTGATTTTTAGAGAGATTGGAAGAGAGAGGGAAAGACAGGGAAATATTGATGTGAGAGAAATACATTGATTGGTTGCCTCCTGCATGCACCCAACCTGGGTCTCGGCCAGTGAAGAGCCTACAACTGAAGTACGTGCCCTTGACTGGAATCGAACGCTTCGGTCCTCAGGCTAACTAGGCACTTTGGCTAGGGCATGAAGAGTTTTATCTTACCAGCAATACTTTTATAAAAGTTATGCCCAAGATCTGGTATAGAATTTCTGTGGTCTTCTTCCCTGTGTACACTAGAATATGAAAGATAAAGCTATATTTAGGACTTACCAAGGACCTCCTGTATAACTAATCAAAATGTTACTTTATTAACCTGACTTTCATTAGGAATTAACTAAGATATAAAGAGGTCTTTATGTTTCTACTTAGGATTTCAAGCACAGCTAACTATTTCGGATGCTGTGGGCCATTCTGTTTTTTAAAAGGACTCTGTATAGCTTACTGGTAGGCATTTTTCCTTCCACATATGGGATGTTGGTCTCCCTGTATTCTTAAAGAAGGCAATGTGATATAGGAGAAAAACCATTGATATCAATTTAGACTAGCCAGGATTTACATCTTTTCTTTGTCACCTTGGACAAGTTATTATTTGTTTCTATAAAATGGGGACAATAGCTTTAATTTTGGAACTGCTCTAGGAATAAGTGAGCTAATATATAAAAGTATCAATACATGAATACGTCCTGTGGTTATACCCCTCAGAGCAATAGCTGTAGCTTTTAAGAACAGTTTGAATATAGTGTAGTCACCTGGACTCAGATAATTTTATGAAATAAAGTTTCTTGACCATAGAATCTTTCTGTTTGGGTTCAGTTTGGCTATACAGTTCTAAAGAAGTCATACTCAACTTGACTTTTCTCCCTTCCTCTGGGTCATCATTCACCTGCCATTAGAAAAATGTGTCATGTCTTTCATCCTTCAGAACACCTCAGTATGGCCAGTAAAACTTCATTTTCAAGGAGCTGTTCCATCTTACTAGCGGTTTCAGAATCCAAGCCTCCTCCCCATTCGGCAGTTCTAAGCTAAGCTACCCTTTGTATCTTCTTCCCTGTCATATCCTCAGGCAAACCCTAAAAGGAACCCGGGGGAATTCCCAATAAATAGCCTGAGGTGGGAGCTTTAGGGTTAAGAACTCCCAAGCTAGAGCTAAAAGCTTTACAAAGTCTCTAAATCACTTGAGAGCAAGTTCTTATTGCTTCTGAAAAATAATCTTACTAATCAGTATGAGATTACTCTGTAATTGTCTTTATTTCTGTACATCCTTTCTTTTGTTCTCTGAAACCAATCTTTAGTCTTAAATCCTTATTGCACTATAATAAATGCCTACTTTCCCAGTTTACTATGACCTCCAATTGATCACCTGCCAAAAAAGTCAGAAAAGGAAGCAAAATTAAAAGCTCACTGGACTGGATGGTCAGGACTTACATGGGTAATCCTTTAAAGTACCAGGCCATACTATAAAAACAGGGCTTACTTTTTGCCTCCACTATTGGAAATAGATTTTAAGAGAAGGAGGGTTGATATTAGGAAACTGAGAAGAGTTAAAACTACCAGAAGCCTCTAGAAAAGAATACACAATTAATTTGATTTTTATACTATATTATTTTTAGGAAGATGAACCATTTTGAAGAAGAATGATGGACGGCAAGAAATAATAGTTTATATAATGCCATCGATTTTACTGGAAGAACTTTTAGAAATAAAAGATTTTTAAAAATAAAAATATTTTTTGAGAACTCTCACTTTTTAAAAATTATTTCTAAAAATACCATTTGTTTTTGTCCACTGATTCTTTAGGATAGTAAATGAGCAGCTACAGCGGTCTCTTGATGATTATCAGCACCGACTTTCCATCCAAAGAGGTGAACTTGAATCAGCCGAAGCACAAATTAAAATGCTGGAGGAAAATATAGGTAATTGTTTTTAAATTCTGTTTTTGCCAATCCTAATTTACTTTGGCTAACAGACATTTCATTTATAGGTAAACTGCACCTTAAGATGACTTCACAGGATCAAGAAGCTCATGTCATGAAAAAAACCATTGGTGTTATTGATAAAGAAAAAGACTTCCTTCAGGAGGCTGTAGATGAGAAGACAGAACATATTGCAAACTTGCAAGAAAACCTTGCTAATAAAGTATGTGCCTGTTAAATATTATTATCTGGCTTCTGAAAGGAAAAGACTATTCTATCTCTGTTTCAAGTATGCAGTTCTTATCACCCATGTATAAGTCAAGACTCAGGCCATATCTTCTGATATGTTTAAATTTCATTTTATCTCAATAATTTCTATTTCTAGAATGTAATTTTATCAGATGTGATTACAGCAAATTCAAGGAAACAATTTAAGTTCTCAGTATGAGTAGAAGCATGTCAATACTTGAATACAGTTGGAACATAAGAGCTTTCACTTATAGCATCCTATATAATAAAAGGCTAATATGCAAATTGTTCCCTCAACTGGGAGTTTGACCAGGGGCAGGGCCGGCTGGCCAACCATCTGCGGCCCCTCCCCCTGGCTGGCCCCACTTCTGATCTCCCCCCCCACTCATGCACAAATTCGTGTACCGGGCCTCTAATAAGTTATATTATTGGATTTGAACTGAATAAATGTAATAAATTGTATAAATTCCTATATGAATTGTTTAGAATCTTATATATTTTTTGTAATTTCTCTAGGAAAAAGCTATTGCTCAGATGCAGATAACGTTCTCAGAGTATGAATCATCTTTGAAGTGAGTAACCAGTGTTATGGCATCCAGCTTCTTTAGAAATGTTTGGGGAATGCAGCTCTATTTAAGTAGCATCTGTCAGTAGTTTCATTTCTGTTTTTCTATTTTTGCCAATGGCAGCAGCAGCATTTTCTCAGTCTTTTGTATGAAAATGTTAAATTATCTTTAACTTGCTGCCATCTTTCATTATCCAAGTCTAAACACTATGTCTTACTATTTTTTTACATGCTACTTGCTCTTTTTTTTTTTTTTTTTTTTTTTTTTTTTTTTTACTGTAACTACCCTATACAGGCTCTAATTAAAATATAGATTATTTTAGTAGTAGCCAGTCTTGAATTTATCCTACATCTAAACCTATCTTGAACAAAATTTTATATTTTATGTGTAGTCTCTTCAAGACAAAAGTCTCTAATCGTGTTTATTCTGTGTACCCTTTTATATTATACTAGAGGCCCAATGCATGCAATTGGTGCAAGGTGCTCGGCCCTCACAGCCTCAGTGGCTTGCCTTCGCCCTTGCAGTCCCGACTTTATCTGGAAGGTTGTCCGGCTGTCCAGTCTAATTAGCATATTATGCTTTTATTATTATAGATAATAGTGGGAACTTAACCATTAAATAAATATTTGCCAATAGAATCTGTTATTTTATTATTTGCCAAATGAATCTCCTTATACTTGAAAGTCCTTTGTTTTTATTTGACTTTTGTAATAATAATTTATTTTATGACTTCATTTGCTCATGATTGGTAGAGAGCTAAAATGTCTCATTTACCTAATTAATCAGTATCTTGATGCAGTATTTATAATTTATTGTATTCTTAATATACTTAATTCAGAGTAAAACAGTTTTCTTTTAAATGAACTAAATTATTCAAAAAGTTCAGTTTTTACTTTTACATCACTTGTGTAACAGCCAGCTAAAGGAGACACTGAAGAATCGGGACCATGAGATAAACAGCCTCTTGCGCCAGCTTGATGCAACTAACAAAGAACTCGATGAAGTAGGAAGATCTAAAGAAATAATTTGTAAGGAAAATAGAAGATTACAAGATGATCTGGCTACAATGGCAAGAGAAAACCAAGTATGAATACAGTGCATAACCTTCAATAGTTTTAGAGTATACAGTTTTTTGTTGGTTTTTTTATTGATTTTTTTTTTTTTTTCTTACAGAGAGGAAGGGAGAGGGATAGAGAGTTAGAAACATCGATGAGAGAGAAACATCGACCAGCTGCCTCCCTGCACACCCCCTACTGTATGTGCCTGCAACCAAGGTACATGCCCTTGACTGGAATCGAACCTGGGACCCTTCATTCTGCAGGCTGATGCTCTATCCACTGAGCCAAATCGGTTAGAGCACAGTATACAGGGGTTTTTTTTGTTTGTTTGTTGTTGTTGTTGTTGTTGTTGTTGTTGTTGTTTTGTGTGTGTGTGTGTTTTAATATATTTTATTGATTTTTTACAGAGAGGAAGGGAGGAAAATAGAGAGTTAGAAACATCAATGAGAGAGAAACATCAATCAGCTGCCTCCTGCACACCCCCTACTGGGGATGTGTCTGCAACCAAGGTACATGCCCGTGACTGGAATCAAACCTGGGACCTTTCAGTCCACAGGCCAATGCTCAGTCCACTGAGCTAAACCGGTTTCGGCAGAGCACAGTATACAGTTTTATAAAATATCCTTTGTTTGCTATATTTTAAAGCTTTCAATATGGTTTTTAAATTTTAATAATATAAATAACACTAATAATTCTTTAGCGATAATGATGTTTATAATATATATATATATATTTTTAATATATTTTACTGATTTTTTACAGAGAGGAAGGGAGAAAGATAGAGAGCTAGAAACGTCGATGAGAGAGAAACATCGAGCAGCTGCCTCCTGCACACCCCTCACCAGGGGTGTGCCCGCAACCAATGTATATGCCCCCGACCGGAATCGAACCCGGGACCTTTCAGTCCACAGACCGACACTCTACCACTGAGCCAAACCGGCTTCGGCAATATAATATATTTTTTTTAAGTATAGTTTAGAATGCTGCTATATATTACAGGTGTCTAATGGGTATAACTGTGGTCTGTTCACCATTTTTGTCTTTATTATAAGAACTTCTATAGCTGGTAGCATGATATTCATTCTATATGGCAGAAATTGTTGTGACCCTATTGGGTGAGGACCTCAATATCACTTCCAGGGAAAAGTGACTGTGATTTAAAGATCAATGATACATTTTAATTAGTCTTACTTCTAGTCAGCTTAGTTTATTTACAGCAGGGGTGGAGAACGCCCAGCCTGTGGGCCATTTAAGGCCCACAAAATAATTTGATCTGGCCCTGCCAGGCAATAGGGGTGAGTTAATAAAATGTTTGACCAAATATAGCAGTCTAATTTTTAAGTTGATAATTTTGTATGGCCTGTGAATGAAGATATAAATATCCAGATGGCCCTTGGCAGAAAAAAGGTTCCCTACTTCTGATTTATAGGTAAAAGTAAATTAATGATAAGTAAGTTATTTTTGAATGTCTAATACTTAAAGGTATTACTTTTGTTTGTGCTGGTTTATTAAAGGGTTATACCTAGAAGATCAATAATTTCCTATTGTAATTATTTTTTCTTAATTTCTTTCAACATTATTCCATATAAAGCATATTGCTATTATATGAATTTTTTTCAATGCCAACATTTGAGCCAGATACATGATTAGGACTGTTGTGGGAGGTATGTGGTAATATTTGGTTAAAAAGTCAAGATCAGCCTTGCCAGTGTGGCTCAGTGATTGAATGCCACCCTATGAACCAGGAAGTCACAGTTCGATTCCCAGTCAGGAATCATATTCGGTTGTGGGCTTGATCCCCAATGTGGAGCATGCAGGAGGCAGCCAATCAATGATTCTCTCACATCATTAATGTTTCTGTCTCTCCTCCCTTCCTCTCTGAAATCAATAAAAAAATATATTTTTTAAAAAGATCAAGATCAGCCCTGGCCAGTGGTGTTTAGTGGTTAGAGTGTTGGGCTGCACACCTGGGTTTTGGGTTTGGTTCCTGGTCAAGAGCACACACTTGGGTTGCAGGTTTGATCCCAACCCTGGTCTGGGTTTGTACAGGAGGCAACCAACCTATTAGATTATTAACAAACTAGAGGCCAGATGCATGAAATTCGTGCATGGGGAAAGGGTGTGTGTCCCTCATCCCAGCCTGCACCCTCTCCAATCTGGGACCCCTCTCACAATCCAGGACTGCTGGCTCTCAACTGCTTGCCTGTCTGATTACCCCTAACTGCTTCTCCCTGCCAGCCTGATCACCCCCTAACCACTCCCCTGCCAGCCTGATTGCCCCTAACTGCCCTCCTCTGCTGGCCTGGTCACCCCTAACTGTTTTCCCCTACAGGCCTGGTCCCCCTCCAACTGTCCTCCCCTGCAGGCATGCCCCCTCCCCGCCCCCAACTGCTTTCTTCTGCAGGCTTGGTCTCCCCCACAACTGTCCTCCCCTGCAGGCCTGATAGCCTACAACTTCCCTCCCCTGCTGGCCATCTTGTGGTGGCCATCTTGTATCCACAAGGGGGCAGCCTTGTGTGTTGGAATGATGGTCAACTTGCATATTACTCTTTTATTAGATACTGTGTTTCCCCGAAAATAAGACCTAGCACAACTTTGAGAGAAAAAATTAATATAAGACACTGTCTTATTTTCGGGGAAACAGAGCAGGATGAGATTTGGAAGTCTCACATCAATGTTTTTCTCCCTCTTCTTCCCTCTATCTTCCACTCTGTTTAAAAATCAATGGAAAAAAATATCCTCGGGTGAGGATTAACAAATAAAAAAAGGCAAGATAAATCAGGAAAATAAGTGCAAGCAACACTTAAGAACAGTTTTCCTTTTTTTCTACTCTCTCTTATTCCCCAAATGTAAAAGTAGCCATTTGAATAAAAATAAAACTCATTAGATTCTATGTTCACTTTAGATTTGCTTTCAATTTTCTGATTTATAGGAAATCTCACTGGAATTGGAAGCAGCAGTGCAAGAAAAAGAAGAAATGAAGAGTAGAGTTCATAATTACATAACAGAGGTGTCACGATGGGAGAACTTAATGGCTACTAAGGTAAAAAGGCACTCTAGGTTTTATTTAAGACTTATTTTACTTTTTTATGCCTCTTCTATTAGATTATTAACAATATGAGATTGGAATTCTTGCCTACTGTCACTTTATATTTTCCCCCAGATCTTATTTAATACTAGAGGCTCAGTGCATGAAATTTATGCATGGGGGGGAGGGGGCAGGGGTGTCCCTCAGCCCGGCCTAAACCTTTTCACAATCCAGGACCCATCATGGGATGTCTGACTGCTGGTTCAAATTATTTTGCGGGCCTTAAATGGCCCACGGGTTGGATGTTCTCCACCCCTGCTATAAATAAATTAAGCTGACTAAAAGTTAGAATAATTAAAATGTATCATGGGTCTTTAAAACACAGTAACTTTGCCCTACATCGGCATTTAAACATCCCTCTCGCAATCCTGGACTGCTGGCTCCTAACTGCTTGTCTACCTGCCTGCCTGATTGCCCCTAATTGTTCTCCTGCCTGCCTGATCACCCCTAACTACTCACCTGCCTGCCTGGTTGCCCCTGTCCACTCTGCCTGCCTGCCTCCCTCATTGCCCCTAACCACCTCTGCCTGATAGCCCCTAACCACTGCCTGCCTGCCTGCCTGATCTCCGGCTTGCCTAATCACCCCTAAACCACCTTTGCTTTGCCCCTGCCATGGCAGCTTTGTCCAAAAGATTGTCCAGAAGGATGGCAGGAAGTATATTCAGAAGGTCATCCTGTCTAATTAGCATATTACACTCTTATTATTATACATTACACTCTTATTATTATACATTATTATTATAGATAGTATCTGCACAGGTAGCTTCTGTTTTCTAAATTAAAACAAAAATTCCAATGCGTGTGTATGTTTCTGACATGAATATTCCAGTAAGTGACAGTTACTAAGAAACATTTTAAATATGCTCAAACTAGGAAAAAGAAAATCAAGATTTGTTAGATAGATTTCAAATGCTTCATAACCGTGCTGAAGACTGGGAGGTCAAAGCCCATCAAGCTGAGGGACAAAGCAGCTCAGTTCGACTGGAACTTCTTTCTATTGACACGGAGAGGAGGCACCTTCGTGAAAGAGTGGAGCTCTTAGAAAAAGAAATTCAGGAGGTAATATATATTTGTTTGTCTTTACTTAATAGAACAGAAAGCATTCAAAAGTACTTTATTTGAAGTGAGAGTTAAGCATTGCTGAAATCAAGTTCAATGGTTATCTTTTGTCATTAGTTCTGATCATTTGCTTAGGAGCCCCATACTTTATTTTTTATTATAGTAAAATATACCTAATATCAAATTTACCATTTTATCCATTTTAAATGTACAGTTCTGTGGCAGTTCCTACATTCACATTATTGTGCAACTATCTCCATCTATCTGTAGAACTTTATCATCTTCCCTAATTGAAACTCCACCCACTAAACACTAACTCTTCATTCTCCACACCCCAACTTCTAGCAACTATCATTCTACTTTCTCTCTCTCTTTGAATGTGACTGCTCTATGTACCTCCAATAAGTGGAATCATGATTATTTTACTCAGCCTTAAGATTAACTTAACCTCAAGGTTATCCATGTTATATAGCATATGTCAGAATTTCATTTCTTTTTAAGGCTGAATAATACTTCATTGTATGTAAAAACCATATTTTGTTTATCCATTTGTCAGTGGACATTTGGTTATTTCCATTGAAATTAATGCTGCTATGAATATGGGTGTACAATATCTATTTGAGTCCTTGATTTCAGTTCTTTAGGATATACCCAGAAGCAGAATTGCTGAATTATGTGGAAATTTTATGTTTAACTTCTTGAGGAACTGCCAGGCAGTTTTCTACAAGGGCCTACAGCATTTTACTGTAGGCTAAATCTCACCAGCAATGTAATGATTTCAATTTCTCTGCATCCTTTCCCACACTTGTTATTTTTTTGGGGTTTTAAATAATAGCCATCCCAATAGGTGTAAAATGATATCTCATTTTGAATTTGAATCACAATTTCTTTTTTTATTTTAATAATAAATCTTTATTGTTCAGATTATTACAGGTGGTCCTCTTCCCCCCTCCCTAACCCCCCATAGCTCCCTTCCACCTGATTTTCCACCCCACCCCATGTCCTTACCCCCACCACTATCTTCATCCACCCATGGGTGTAAGATTTTTGTCCAGTCTCTTCCTGCACCCCTCAGACTCCTTTCCCCCTAGAATTGTCAGTCTACTCCCTTTCTATATCTTGATTCTCACCAGTCCATTCTGTTCTTCAGATTTTTACTCACTTAATTTTTAGATTCACTTGTTGGTAGGTATGTATTTGATGTCTTTTTGTTTTTCATAATTTTTACCTTTACCTTTTTCTTCTTTTTCTTCTTAAAGAATACCCTTCAGCATTTTATATAATCCTGGTTTGGTGGTGGTGAACTTCTTTAGCTTTTTCTTGTCTGTGAAGCTCTTTATCTGACCTTCAATTCTGAATGATAGCTTTGCTTGGTAGAGTAATCTTGGTTGTAGGTTCTTGCTGTTCATCACTTTGAATATTTCTTGCCACTCCTTTCTGGCCTGCATAGTTTCTGTTGAGAAATCAGCTGACAGTCATATGGGTACTCCCTTGTAGGTAACTATTAATAATTGTTTTTCTCTTGCTGCTTTCAAGACTCTCTTTGTCTTTTGCCCTTGGCATTTTAATTATGATGTGTTTTGGTGTGTCCTCTTTGGATTCCTCTTGTTTGGGGTTCTGTGCGCTTCCTGAACTTATAAGTCTATTTCTTTCACCAGGTAAGAAAAGTTTTCTGTCATTATTTCTTCCAATAGGCCCTCAATATCCCTTCTCTCTTTTCTTCTGGCACACCAAAAATACGGATGTTGGTACACTTAAAGCCATCCCAGAGGCTCCTTACACTATCCTAACACTTTTGGATTCTTCTTTCTTTCTGCCTCTCTGGTTGGGTGTTTTTTGCTTCCTCATATTCCAGATCTTTGGTTTGACTCTTGGGGTACATTGATCTACAGTTGAGTTTCTGTATATTCTTTATTTCAGACAGTGTATGCTTAATTTCTGATCGGTCTTTTTCATTTTTTTGGCATTCTCATTAAGGTCCTTGAAGGTCTCTTCAAGTTTCTCATGGTTTATAGAAGATTCTTGAGTAATCTTATAAATGTGTTTCTGAACTCTCTGTCGTCCAGTAGTTTACTTTCCTCTATCTCTCCCATTCATGACATGCTTCTGTGTCTCTGAATTTTGGCTGCCTCCCTGTGTTGATGGAGTGGCTTTGTGTGGTAGTTGACCTATAGGGGGCAGTAGCTCAGCTTCCCCAATCACCCAAAGTGGTCGCTCTTGGTACATCCGTTTGTGGGCTGAGTGCAAAGTCTTGGTGTAGTTAAGCTTTGATTGCTGTTAGTACACTGGGAGGAATTGACTTCCAGGCCAATTGGCTGTGAGGACCCACTGTGTCTATAATGGAAGAACTGTACTGGAGACACGCTTATGATGGAGGCCTTGTTTCAGTGGGGCTTTGGTGTTCACTAAGTCCACCTCCCGAATGTGTTACTTATGGTTGTGAGGAGTTGAAATCTGGTGTCTCACACCGACCACTAGATACACTGGTTTCTGGATGTCCAATGGGATACAATTCAGCTACTGCCTGAGGCCACCCTGCAGGAGCTACAGTGAGAACCACAGTCCTCTCCTCCCTGCTTGGAGCTTAGAGACTTTTGAGCTGTCTGCACCAGGTTGCAAGTTTGCTAGGTTAAGCTGCAATAGAGAAGGCAATTCATATGCAAAAGCAGCTGCTTGGAGCTTGGTGTGTTTGTAGATTGTGCGGGGCAGAGTCTCAGGGCATCACTAGGCTAGGGTGTGGTAAACAGTGATGGTTGGCAGTGAGCCGTCTCTGCTTCTTAGACTGCATCTGGCGCCCCAGCACAGCAAACAATTATTTTTGCGTGCAGCTCTACAAGCAAGCCACCCTCACTTTCCGACCGATGGCAGACAGTCCAGCTTCTCCCCAGAAACTGGATTTCAGAGATCGGGAGCTTGTCTCTCTTCGGGTTGAAGAAAGCAATACCTGCCGCCAGCCAGGATCCACCGCCAGCTGTATCGCATGCGCCCCCGTACCTCAGTTTTTAGCTCTTGTGCCCTGAATGCTCTTTTTTCTTTCCATCTAGTTGTAGAACTTTCACTCAGCCAATTTTCCCGTGGTTCTGAGTGATAGACATTTTGTCTTTTAGTTGTAGTTTTGAAATTGTTGTGCACTGCAGCAATTTAGATATTTACCTGCGCCACCATCTTGGATCTCTCAATCACAGTTTCTTAATGACTAATGATGTTGAGCATCTTTTCATGTGTTTATTGACCATTTGTGTATGTTCTTTGGAGAAATGTCTATTCACATCCTTTGCCTTTTTTTAATTTTTTTTTTAAATCTTCACTTGAGTATATTTTTCTATTGATTTTAAGAGCGAGAGGGAGAGACAGAAATATTGATGTGAGAGAAACACATGGATTGGTTGCCTCCTGTACTTGCTCTGACCACAGCCCAGCCTTGGGGACCCTGCAACCAAGGTACATGCCCTTGACGGGAATGGAACCTGGGACTCTTTGGTCCTCAGGCCAACACTCTGTCCACTGAGCCACACTAGCTAGGGCATCATTTTCAATCAGATTGTTTTTGTTATTGAGTTGTAGGAATTGTTTGTATAATTAGGATATTAATTTCTATTAGATAGGTGTTTGTAAGTTTTCTCCCATACATGGCTTGCCTTTTCACTCAGTTTTATTCTTTGATGCCTAAAAGTTTTAATTTTTATAAAGTCCAATTATTTTTAATACTCTTACTCCATAACTTTTGGTATCAGATTTAAAAAATAATTGCTGAGTCCAATATAATGAAACTTTTCTCCCATGTTCTTCAACAACGTTTGTAAGTTTTTGCTCTTATGTTAAGGTCTTTGATCTGCTTTGAATTGACTTTTATATATGATATAACATAAGGGTCCAAATTTATTCTTTTGTATGCAGGTTAAAATAAGCTCTTATCATAAAGACAGTCTAATAAAATTTTATTAAGTAAATCTTGAATTCAGTTAAAATATAAAGACCCTAGTTAGATTTATTTAGAGTAGATGGCTATTAGGGTTTTTTGGTGTTTTTGGTAGAGTGTTGTAGTCTTCATTTTTTTAGAAGAAAGTATTAATTATCTATAGTGAGTAGAATTATAGTCCCCCCAAAAACAATATATGTGTGTGTGTGCGTGTGTGTGTATTAATATATATATGTATATATATATATATATATATATATATTTAGGTTCTAATACTTAGTACCTGTGAATATGACCTTTTTTGAAAATAGTATCTTTGCAGTTCTATAATGAGGTTAAAATGAGGTTATACTAAACCTGACAGACCATTGGGTTTAATATAACCTGACAGGTCATAACCCAATGACCTATCAGGTTTATATATATAGTTTTGAAATTGTTGTGCACTGCAGCAGTTTTGAAAATCCTTGTAACAGTGATTTTCAACCAATGTGATGCAAGAATTTTATAAACATGCAGTACCTGACTATTTAGTCAGGGGTACTGACCTTTTTCCTTAGATTGTTTAAAAAAAAAAAAAAAAAATGACAGCCAACACAATAGCCATCCCATGTGAATGAATCAAAATCAAACCTATTTTTTTTTTGTTATATCAGAAAAACAACACATATTTTGTGTGTGCTACAGAAATTCAGTAATTACTTTATGTGTGGCATTAGATGAAAAATAAATTGAAAATTGCTGCCTTATCAGATAGGAGAAATATGGATACAGAAGACACAGGGAGAGTGGCAGGTGAAGATGGAGGCTGAGATTGGAGGGATAGGAACAAGGCAAGGAACTCCAAAGATTGCCAGCAACCATCAGAAGGTGGGAGAGAGGCATGGAATAAATTCCTCAGAATCTCCCGAAAAAGCCAACTGTGTTGACATATAAATTTCAGAACTGTGAGGGAATAAATTTCCATGGTTTTAAGACAACCAGTAATTTCCATTAATTTGTTATAGCAGTCCTAGGAAACTAATACACTACCTCTATAAACTTTCTATTGAGTATAATAATTAAAGGCATGCTTTTCAACCTTCAAAAGAGTTCTCAGGAAAAACTGTTCTTTAGGTTCTTTATAATTGTTCATGTTATATGGTATGTGAAAATGAATATTTATATTCATTTGTTTGAAGGAAACTTTGATTTTATTAATTCATTAGTATTTGGAAAATCCAAATGTTTACTTTTCTGAAACTGTTGACATTTATTAATAATAATAGCATCCTATTTTTTATGTTGCCTCATTTCAGAAGAGCCTGTTCGAATTAATTTTTAGGTGCAGACTTATTCCTAAATTCTAGAAGTAGAGTTTAAGTCACTTTGTATTTATTACTCATAATCTAAATTTAAGAGATTTAAATGGTGGATTTTTCTAAGATAAGTATCTTATCAGTATTTCAAACTTTGCTCATTATTTCAGTTAATATTATAAAGAAGTGTATTATTAAATTTTTAAATATGACTAAGTATTTGGTTTTAAATTGGAATTTGGAATTTAAATTTCAAAATTCCATTTTGAAATTCAGAATTTAAAGACAATTGATATGTGATAAATATAGGGTGTGGCAAAAGTAGGTTTACAATTTTGAGTACACAAAATAGTTTATTCTGATACTATTATTTACTAATTGTATTATTTTCCATACGAATAACTATAAACTTTGTCTCACCCTATATATATATATGTTACTTTTCTTGAAAAGGCATTATTTTAACAATTTATAAAGGAAAATTTACTGTAGCTTTAAAGAACTCTCATATTCACAATAACCTAGAACAATAATTTTCACCTTTTTATCTTCTAAATATATACATGAAGTACTTATTTACCATGATTAATAATTATATGCAATTCATTTAATAAGCATTAAATAGGCCATCTTTAAATATAGCAGGCAACTTCTTGAAAGTATCTAAAATATGCAAATATTGGCTCTTATATTTTTATAAAGTGAGGTTGTAACTGCACAAATTTAAACCTTTAAAATTATTGGGTTACTTTAACTTTTTACCTGTTTCTTTTATTTTCAGCACATAAATGCACATCATGCCTATGAATCTCAGATCTCATCAATGGCAAAAGCCATATCTAGATTAGAAGAAGAGCTGAGACATCAAGAAGATGAGAAAGCAACAGCGTTCAATGATTTGTCATCTCTTAGAGAACTCTGTATTAAGCTTGACTCAGGCAAAGATGTTATGACCCAGCAATTGAATGCTAAAAACCTTGAATTTGAGAGGGTAAGAACTTATAAGATATTGTTGTAACACATTGTTTTACTGAGCCCTACCTAATTGTTTTAATGTATCATTCACTACCTAATATATTTGTTCTCCTTTGGAGTAGTTACTTTTGACGGCAGGATTTTGAGAATTAACTCTAACTACTAGATTCTCTGCCAGGATTTCTCTGGCAAACGTGGTGATGAAATTAGGAGCTATCTGTTTTAGAATAGATGGGTGTATAGAAGATATTAGTCTTCTCATTATAGAATAGGAGCATATCCCAATACTTTATTTGTTTGTTTCAAGATAAGACTTAAATGGAGTGGTGAGCACTTCACTGCTTCCTAAGTAGAATATTTTTCTTGATAAAAATCTCAAGGCAGCCTGGTCAGTTTTGCTCAGTGGTTGCTATGAGCCAGGAAGACAGGGTTCAATTCCTGGTCAGGGCACATGCCCGGGTTGCAGGCTGGGTCCCCAATAGGGGATGTGCAGGAGGCAACGATCCATGATTCTCTCTCATCATTGATGTTTCTATCTCTCCCTCTCTGAAGTCAATAAAAATATATATTTTTTTAAAAACTCTCAAGGCATTTAAATCTTTAAATGTCTAGTTAGCTGGAATTTCCCATTTCCAAACTGAAGCATTACTTTAAATGTGTGTTTTCAAACATTGGTGTTTTCAATTTTCACTCATTTAGTATCTTTGTTTACTGGTACTGAGAAGCTCAAATACTGGCTTAATCATGTAGACAGAGGGCACAGATTTAATAGATCAGAAGGGCCTCCTTGCTGATATTTTAGGAGTTTATGATAATGGCCCTCTCCTGATAAAGTAGCACTAGAAAACTCTTTGAAGGTTGGAGTAGGTCTCATAGCCAAATAAGCCCTTTCTGAAAATAGTAGATTGTTTTGAAAATAAGATATTTTTTTTAAACTTGAAAGAGTGGTTCAGGATTTTTTAACTGGTACCCAAAATGAAGGAACTGATGTGTGTGGACATACTAGTAGGTCTGCAGGTAATTTTTCTGAGTAAGTCTAAAATGTGCCGAAGTCATATAACATTATTATACTTAAAATCATTTTTCTTGAAATGTTAAAAAAAAGTGCCAAAGTAATCTTCCCTTGTTTTTCCTGTAGGTTGTGATGGAATTAGAAAATGTAAAATCAGAATCAGATCTGTTAAAAACACAATTATCAAGTGAGAGACATACGATTAAAAATCTTGAATCATTGTTGGCTACGAATAGAGATAAAGAATTTCATTCTCATTTAACGTCCCAAGAGAAGGATACAGAAATTCAGTTACTTAAAGAGAAGTTAACCCTTTCAGAAAGCAAATTGTAAGTGTCTTAAATCAATCTATGTGAGGGAAATAGCTTCTTAAAAATAATTTTAATATGAGTAAATTGTAGATTTGTAACATAAAACAAATGATTAAAAACATTGGAGGAACAAAAACAATGTTTCAACTTTCACCGTGAGTGGGGGAAGGGAATGTGAAGGGCAGTTTAAACCAAAATACTTTATGTGGCAGCTGCTGCTTTTGGAAATTTAGGGACTTAGTTCAGAAGAGATATCATGTTTGGAGATGTAGATTTGTATATCTTCTCCAGAGATTGTTCCTGTAAAAGTGAATGAGTGAACTTTGTAAAAATGACTAAACTTGAGCAAAGGAGAGAGCATTTCAGGACAGGCGTGTCAGCAGCATTTCATGCTGTGGATTAGGAAAAATACTTTAAGAAAGCTGGGAAATTTGATCCTCATGTATACTGATTACCTTTGAGGAGGCTGATGATGGTGTCTTTTTAGGCTGGAGAAGGTTAGGTATATTTGTGGAAGAAGAGCAGAAGCCCAGAGTAGATGGTGCATACAAGAAGAATAAGTAACTTTTAAAAAGAGTTAGAAACATTTCTCTTTCTGAGGCAAGAAGCAAGAAAGCCAGTGAAGGTACTTTACAACTAGACATTACAATCCTGTAGTAACTCAAATTTGTATCTGCCGCACTAGTAAGTGTTTATTAAATAAGATGCATGAAAAAGGAAACTGATAGAAGCTCCAAAAGTTTTGAGAATTATTGTTGAAAGTCTTGATCTTCCCTTCTTTTCATTCTTAGTATCATCTCTTTTGTATTTAATAATCATAAAAAAACAACAACAATCTATGACAGTAAACTCTACAAAACAGGACATTTGTTATGTATTTCTTTGAATTTTAAAATTTGTTTTTAAGAACCAGTCAAAGCCGGGAGAACACCATGCTTCGGGCTAAAGTGGCACAATTACAAACAGATCATGATACCATGAAAAGGCAGATTTCAACTGAAAGATATGAACGGTAAGAAAAATTTGTAGCATTAGTGTTTTTATTTATGTCCTGTTCTATTTCAAAAAGTGTTTAATGTGGCTTACAAGTAGCAAACTTTTTTTTAGCATTAATGCTCAAAATAAATTTCTTCAGTATTTCTTCCTAAAAAGGCAACAAGTTGTAGAAGATAATATCACTATAGTAAATAAAGTAGCAGGTATTGTGTGATTCCATAGCAGAATTAAGTCATTATTTCAGAGGCTATAGCTAGGAAATAAACAAGCTAGAAAGGATTCCACAAGAGTCTAAAACAATATGATCCAATTGGAAACTAATACAAGTCATCAAATAAGTGATGATGCTGATGATTATAAGGGCTTTAGCAAATATATACCAGATACTATGTATATATTTGATAATCCTAACAACCTATTATTATGCCTATATTATAGGAAACGAGGGTCATACAGGAGTAAATAGCAGAGTCACTAATGAAATTCAGGCAAGTCTGGTCTGTTTAATTTTAAAGCCTGTGCTCCCAGCCTCTGTAATATAATCTCTACGGCTTAGTAATTTTCCTATTCACTTGTATTTTAGTTCATTTTCTTCATTATGTTAAAAATTTTAATCCTTGAATGTTACAAACAGGAATAAGACTTGCTTTAAAGTTAAAGTCAGGATCTGATTTTTAAATCAGTTGTCAAGTTTTTCAATTACTCTTGCCTACAATATTAATACCATAGATAACATTTCTGAGATGATATTCTCAAATAGTGGAAAAAATTGCTTATTAGGTCAATTTTTTAGTTCTCTTATTCTTATCCATTGACATTAAAATATTTATTGATGGCTGTTTGATGTATAGACAGAATTTGCTAGCAATTCAATATTTATTATCTTAGTAAGATATGAAGCCTGAGATGATATTAGTGTTGTGAAAGCTATTTTTAATCTTGTAATTTAGAATACCTTAATATGCTAAACTGTGTATATATATATATATAATTGCTTTCATTTCTTAATGATAACTTAAATTCTTTCAATTCACAGGTCCTAAGTCAAACTCTCGATTGCGTAAGGTTATAGACCCCCTTAATTTCTCTCCATTTCCCCTACCCCAGTTCTCGAAGAAACCATATGACCATGTCTTGCTTCTTAACATCTAACTAGAGTATGCAGTCTTAAAAGGGCAATGCTGCCTCCCATGGGTTAAAATTGATTCTTGGGAGAAGAGGGAGTGGCAAACCCCCTAGGTATTACATAATTTATGGCCCTCCAAAAGGCTACAGTATGTAAACAGTGTACCTGTTTATTAAGATTCCATGTAGTGTGGGGATAATTTGTGGGGAAAATAACTAAAAAAAGTTTCTTTAGGGGAATAATAGTGAAAAAGCGTTGGTGAAATATCCAAGTATGTAGAAATCCTGGATACTGAAGAACTCAAGCCATAAAAAGTCTAGGCCAGAGACGGGATTGCTCACAAGGAGGTGGTAGTGCAGTCCCCATGCTTTGTAGGCAGACAGACACAGGGAAGGAAAGCATAACAAAGAGAATGGATTACTTTCCTCTGACATTTGGGAGTTTTGAGGCAGGAAGGGGCAGAGAACTAGATTTCTGTGCAAGAGGTGGGAAAGGAAGGAGCAGAGGGAGGAACCATCCACCTTTGGAAATCTTTACTCAGAGGGGCTTTGAACAGTCTCTTATAATACATTTCCTTTCATTGAAATCTTTTATCTACTATTTAAAAATCATCTAAGGACATGGGATTTAAATTTAGTAGAAATAGAAATTGAGTAGAAATTATTTCATTCACAACAATAGCAGCACCTATATCTGTATAGCCCTTTTTGGTATTATCTCTTATTTGACCTTACTTGACAGAGAACGAGCAATCCAGGAGATGCGTCGACATGGTCTTCCCACACCACCCCTTAGTTCTACTCTGAAATCTCCTTTACATTCTCCTGAACATATACATGATGATTTTTAGAAAGGTACGTATGTAACACCATGGACAAGCAAAACTAATCTATGATTATGAAAATTCAGAAAGTAGTTTTCTGGAGAAGCAGGGAGATTGCCTGCAAAAGTGATCAGGGAACTTTGTGACCACCTTTGATGAGAATAATGGAATGTTCTATTTGGTGGTGGAGGATATGAGGGTCTATATGATTGTAAAAACTCTCAGAACTGAGCATTTCTGGTCCATGACGATATTAGACATCACAGAGAAATATTTTATGAAGTGCTAAATTCAAGGAACAAGTACTAGATGTTACAAATGTGGACAAAGACAGACAGGAATGTGTGTGGCACAATAGACTGAATCTGATTGGAATTATAGTTTTGGGGGAATAATGAGGAAGAAAGGCGTGGAAAGTAGAGTAGGATGCATAGAGTTATTTAATGTGAGACTAAATCAGAGATTGTAGCCTTTATTCTGTAAATTAAGAAGAGCCATTGAAAGTCCTCCTATGTATAGGTCGCATACAAGGGAGGAGTTAAGATGAAGGAACAGTTCCTAGCCCAGCTGGTGTGGCTCAGTGGTTGTGCATTAACCTATGAACCAGGAGTTCATAGTTTAATTCCCAGTCAGAGCACATGCCTGGGTTGTGGGCTTGATCCTCAGTGGGGGGCCTGCAGGAGGCAGCCGATCAGTCATTCTCATTTTTGATGTTTCTCTCTGTTTCATTTCCTCTCTGAAATCAATAAAAATATATTAAAAAGAAAAAACTGTTCCTGGCAGATTAACTCAAAATTGTATCTGAGCTTTATTGGGCAGGGTAGAAACCAGCGACAGGGAGACCAGAAAGAGATATGAAAGGCACAGTATCATCAGTTCAGGATCAGTATAATATTGTTGAAAGCTAAGACGACAGATTTTTAAAAATAAATTCCATGTGCAGAAAGTGTCATAGAATACAGCCTAGTGAACGTCCACAAACTGAGTGCACACAACGGTGCAACCCGCACCCAGACCAAGAGACAAGCGTTACCTCACTTGAGCTCCCTTTTGGTCCTAAGCCCCGCTCTAATAGTAACCGCCCTGACTGTAAAAGCATAGATTTTTTTTTTTTTTTGGCCTGTTTTTGGACATTTTAAAAATGATATACATTTCTGGCCTCTTTTCCTCAACAGTACATTTGTGAGATTCATCCATACTACTGTGTGTCCTTGTAGAATGCTCATTCTTGTTGCTGTGTAGTATTCCATTATGTGAACTTTACCACAGTCCACTTACTCGTGCTATTATTGACAGGCACTGATAATTTCCAGTTCATGCTATTACAAAGAGTTATGAACATTTTAGTACCTGTATGTTGGTGAACAGATGTGTGCATTTCTTTGGGTGTATACTTAATAGTTAAATTGTCAGGCCACAGGACATGCACATGTTTGAGCTTGAGTACATGTGGCAAAGCTGTTTTCCAGAGCACTAGGCCTGAGGAAGTATCAGTGACTGCTGACTCCCTGGAAATGGGGATGAATGGGAAAGGAGCATGTCAGACCCAGGGATTGAGAGGTTGGTGACTGAAAAATGCAGGCTTGTTGACAGAAATCGTGAAGTCGGTTCTTTTAAAAAATTATGCATTTCTTTGCCTGTTTTAATAGAAGTACATAGGAGATGAGTAAGCATGTCCTCGATGACTCAGAATTTATGTGCTATGTTTTAACATACAGAAGCCTTCAGGGTTACTGATATTTTAAGCGCCTAGGTTTTGTAATTTAAGCTTTATTGGAGCCTAGCCACACCCATTTGCTTACATATTGTGTGAGACTGCTTTTCTACATGGCAGAATGAGGTGGCTGTGACAGACCCTGTACCCACAAATCTAAAACACATACTGCCTGGTCTTTCACATCATGTAGCCTGTGGAAATGCAGCAGTACACCTGGAGGATAATGAGTGAAAAAGCACATACCAGTAACTCTTAGTCTCATGAAAAACGGCGTGACCTTTGAGGTCCCCTGAAAGGGTCCTGGGGACTCCCAGGGATCCCCAGACTGCACTTCAGGAACCACTGGTACAGAATATTGTGGATCCCAGCAATGTCTAAAGATGTGAGCATTAGAAAACATTTTTAATTGTGATAAAATATATATGGCATGATATATTTAAGTGAAAATGTTTTTATTATAGCCAATATAATAGATATAGCTTAGAAAACTTTGACAACCATTAGCAAAGTCCCAAATAAACTAATGATGATGTTCATTGGTAATCCATTTCCATCCATATTTTCTAAATATTATCATCAAAACTAATTTTTAAAAAAATATATTTTATTGAGTTTTTACAGAGAGGAGGAGAGAGGGATAGAGAGCTAGAAACATCGATGAGAGAGAAACATCGACCAGCTGCCTCTTGCACACCCCCTACTGGGGATGTGCCTGCAACCAATGTACATGCCCTTGACCAGAATCAAACCTGGGACCTTTCAGTCCGCAGACTGACGCTCTACCACTGAGCCAAACCGGTTTCGGCATCATCAAAACTAATTTTAAGGGCTTTTCCCATAAGTACTCAGAAATAAATAAGAAAGGGTCATATCAACCCATATTTTACAGTGTCTCTAATAGTTAAAATATAATATATAACCCAATTTAGTTTTACCTTTTTTTATTATATGTAATGCATGCTCACTGAAAAGGACATAAAATACAAAATTAAATTATAAAAAAGAAGATAAAAATCATTAAAAAAAATTTTATGGAAAATATATAACATTAAATTTATTATTTTAACCATTTTTGGGTGTACATTCCTCTGGCAGTTAGTATATTCACATTGTTGTGAACAAATTATTTCCACCAACCAACTTCAGAACTTTTTAAATCTTCTCCAACTGAAACTTTGTGCCCATTCCTTCCTCCTCATTCTCTCAGCCCTCCACCCTGAGAGTCACCATTACAGTTTGTCTCTATGAATTTGACTATTCTATATACCGCAGTGTAAATGGAATCATACAGTGTTTGTCCTTTTTGTGAAAGGCTTATTTCACTTAGCCTAATGTTTTCAGGGTTCATCCATGTTGGAGCTTGACTCAGAACTTTCTTCCTTTCTAAGGCTAAGTAATAGGCCATTGTATGTATATACTACATTTTTTTATCCATTCATGAATTGGTGAACACTAAATGGATTTTAAATCATAATTACTTTTCATCCTACAACCCAGAGAAAATAACAGTTATCAATAGCATTTTGGTATACTTCCATCTTATATTTAATTTGTAATTAACATACACACATGCATAGACATACATATAATTCTAATAGAGATCATATTCAAGGTAGTTTTATCCTGTTTCTGTTTTGTTTTATTGTTTGTCATTTCCCCCCTAATATTGTAATGAGTATTTATAGATATTAAAAATGTTTTTTGCCGAAACTGATTTGGCTCAGTATAGAGAGCATCAGTCTGCCGACTAAAAGGTCCCAGGTTCAATTCCAGTCAAGAGCATGTACCTTGGTTGTGGGCACCTCCCAGTAGGGGGTGTGCAGGAGGCAGCTGATAGATGTTTCTAACTCACTCTCTCTCCCTTCCTCTCTGTACAAGATCAATAAAATATATTTTTAAAATATTTTTTTTTTATTTTTTTATTTTTTTAAAATATATTTTATTGATTTTGTACAGAGAGGAAGGGAGAGAGATAGAAAGTTAGAAACATCGATGAGAGTCATCGATCAGCTGCCTCTTGCACACCTCCCACTGGGGATATGCCCGCAACCAAGGTACATGCCCTTGCCTGGAATCGAACCCGGGACCTTTCAGTCCCCAAGCCGACGCTCTATCCATTGAGCCAAACCAGTTTCGGCTAAAATATTTTTTAAATGCCATTTTAAAATAGTCATCTAATGGTTCATCACATAGATATTCTGGGGTTTATCACTCTCCTCTTATGGGACATATAGCTTGTTTCCAATTTTTTTCTCTTATCAAGAAAAGTTATTTTACATCAAATTAAAAACATGTCCGGTATCTTCTTTTTAAAAAAATATAATTTATTGAATTTTTACAAAGAGGGCTAGAAAATCAGAAACATCGATGAGAGAGAATCATCGATCAGCTGCCTCTTGTACACCCCCTACTTGAGGATGTGTCCGCAACCAAGGTACATGTCCTTGACAGGAATTGAACCTGGGACCTTTCAGTCTGCAGGCTGGTGCTCTATCCACTCAGCCAAACTAGTTTCGGCTGATATCTTCTTAAGTACATCTTCCTAAGTATAGAAAAATATAATTACTTTCTCAGTGTTTCCATTATGAGATTTTTCATATTTTAATGTGTGCATTTTGATTGGGAGGATGATTAGATAACACATGAAAATATTTTGAAAAATATTTGACTATCCATAACATTTTAAAACTCAGCATAATTTTCAGTACTTGTATATACTGGTATTTTATTAAACCTAGACATAATGTCCCTTGTTTTGAGTGATTTTTCTCACTGAGCATGCTATATTATTCCAGTCTCTTCACTGGGTGTCATTCTTTCAGTCTTCATGTATTTTGCTGCACTTTGGTAGTTTGAAGGGAATCTTTTTGAAATAGAAAACAGTACTATTTAACCACTAAATAGGCAAGGGGTGTAGTAAAGAATATAATTTCAATTAAAACATTAGTGAATTTAAGTTTTTCATCATGTTCTGAGCAATTTTGTTTAACATTTTTCTCACCTTTTTCTCTCTTTTTCAGAATTGACTTTCAATGAGTTGGCTGTATGGACTTGTTAAAGACAGAAAAATAATAATATATTCGAAGTTCTTGTTCCTGAAAATCATGAACATTGACACAAATTCTACCTCTTTCAACTTTTATTTAAATCAGTGAATATTTATGTAAAAAATGGTTTAAAAGAGCTATATCTATGTGTATATTTTCATGCATATGACAGAAAAAAATATGTATTAATAGTGCTGATATTATATCTGTATTTTTATTCCTGACAAATTACTCCTCAATGTGTGTTTATGCTGTGAATTAAT